CTCGTTTAAGGATTAACTCTCAATGGTACAACTTCTTAAAATAATAATAATAATAATAATCTTGCATTTGATATAGCGCCTTTCCACATCGTCGAGACGTCTCAAAGACTACGCTGTAAAGTGGAGTGACTGTATACTTTGCGGGCGAAATGCCAGGTATTTAAAACCGTAAAACATTACAGTCGATTTTTGACCCACAAAACACAGTCAATTCACCGTACAAGTATATTCTGTGAAGCTCTTTGAGACGTTGAGAAGACGTGAGAAGGCGCTATATATCGAACGCAAGGATTATTATGATTATTATTATTATAAATACTTCACTCACAATCTCACAATTATAACCACCCCCTCCCCCTCTCTCTCCCCCCCCCCGCCCCCCGCCCCCCCGCCCGCCCCCGCCACCTTATCTACAATCCCTGGTCTGGTGCTGATGAATCTGCTGCGATTTTGGAAGAAAAACAATGAACAGACTCAGGGCGGCTGCGGCTGCGGCTGCTGATGGTGGGAAGAGCATAATGGAGGAAGCGAGTGGCCTCTGGGAGTCTAGTCATGTTCATCTCCAGGGAAGTCGGACTGGACCAGAGCGGAGCAGAGAGCGCTGAAAGCTGCGTAAAAGAGAAAAAAAAGTCTGGCTTCCGGCCAACTCCTCTCTCTCCCTCCGGGAGGGACTTTGGAACAAAGCGTTTCCTAAGGCTGGCTGACATCTTCACTGAAGCAGACCAATGAGCTATTGATGCCCTCCCTCCCCACCCCCCCCCTCGCTCTCCCTCAGTGCAAAAATGTGACCCCAATTAATACAGCGCATCAGTAGAGAGGAAACTGAATGAGGTCGCGAGTCAGCGGACTCTGAAGGCATTAAAAAAAATAATTATCTGGGCTGAGAGAATCCCCGTTCAGTGGATGGTTTGTCTTTACACAGCGCCCCACGGGGCCGAGCCAAGGGAGGGAGGAGGTGACCGTGGGCACGGGTCGAAGGGCAAGGTCTTCAGGCGCGATCCGAAGACGGGGAAGGAAGGGGTGAGGGCGGAGGGATAGAGGGAGTGCTTTCCAGAGTTTCGGGACGTGCTGGCTGAAAGAGCGGCCGCCGATGGTGGAACGAAGGGCACGAGGGACAAGCAGGAGCCAGTCGAGCGGAGGCAGCGGGTAGCGGGTTGGGGGTTAAGCAGGTCGGGAGAGGTAGGGAGGTGCCGGGGCGTGAAGGGGTTTGAAGACGAGTGAGAGGATCACTGATATAAACCAATACCTGTGTTCCGACTGTGAGAAACCAAAGGAAACCCACATGTGAAAAGGATACTTTTTTTTGGGGGGGTTGGGGGTGGGGGGCCTGGCAGGAAAGCATCGCTCTTGTGCCATTGTAGGAATTGTTCAACCGGAGATTGAGGAAGTAAATATCGCTCATTCCCACTTAATCCCGATCCTGGTGGACGAAAGGAAACTCTCTGTGCAGAAGATTCGAACCGTTGCTGACTATCTGTCCATCTGTCGAATTCGTCAGCTGTTGATGTAGCCCCGACTTTCAAATGCAAATGCAATGAAGTGTTAAAGAACGATAAATAACTTGGGTTTGGGTTAGGGTTAATCATTCATACAAAAAATGCAAACAGATTTAACAGCAGCACATGTGAAGGGGCAATCTAAGGGTGTTCACGCTGGTACTGAGTGTGCCAACACATGATGATTACACATTCAACCACCCATGTTGAGTCCTGTACCATATATTGGTTAGAGGACTTGCCTTGCAAGCGAGAGGACCCGGATTTGATTTCCGGGCTGGGCGAAACATCGGGCATGATTACCTATTCCACACGCCTCTGTTTACCTAGCAGTAAGTAGGAACCCGCGCTTTTTTTCCCAGTCAATTGGCAGATCACTTTCCGGGGTAATAGTCCCTTCAAAAATAAACAAAGAATAATAATAATTTGGTCATTCAATCCACGACTGTTTGTGGGACACTGCTTCGTGCAATTGGCTGCTGCGTTTCGCCCGCAAAATATCCACTTAACAGTATATCGGAGACGTCTCAATGATGTGGTGAGACACTATATCAAATGCAAGGATTATTATTATTATCCCAATCTACACATCTGAGTGGGAGGCGGCAGAAGTAACAGGATCTTGAGTCACCTTTTTGACATAACGACACGGGAATGCATTGCAAGAGAGATTCAGCTGATCTCGTCTTCCCAGATTACCCACCCTGCCGTCTTTCCATTACAACATCCAGCTGTTTCCTAAATGGCTCCGGTGTCATGGCCACCGAAGGGTGAAGGAACCACACTTCCTTCTAACCCGTTTCAGTAGTTCAGTGCCCACTGTGGAAAGAAACACTTTCTGAAGTCTGTCAAAATTGCCCTCACAACCCGAGACTTGCTCTCTCTTGTTCTGCTGCTTTGGTGTATTTGAAAGAATTATTCAAACTACGTTTAACAACAATATTAAAGTGTGATTGAACCATCGGATCAGCAAATGGATCGGTTTGTTTGTTTTGTCAACCGCAGTGGAAAAGTCATGTGAGGTTACACTGAAGGACGATGTAAATATTTTTTCCGCTCCAGGGTTTTCAACTGAACATGTGCGACGTGGGACCTCGGAAACAAAGAACTTGCAAATCAGAGCCCCTTAAAAAGGTCTCAAAAAGCACTCAACAGGAATCGTTAATTGTTAAACAGTGGCTGTTTTTCTTGTGGGCAAACACAGCACTGCCAAAGGTCCCACAAATAGCTATAAAGTGAATGATCAATTTGTTAGTCAGAAAACCCAGCAAAGGTTTTTTTTGTTGGAATAGTGTATTGGCTCTTCATTATCGGGACCTGAGTTTAACGTCAAATCAGAAAGGTGTTGCTCCGGCAATGGTGTACTGTGCCCCAGTCCTGCCGTCCTGGACTATGAGCTCAAATCCCCAAGTGGGGCTTGGATCCCCCAACCTCTGACTCGATTGGCGGATCTCTTTTCCGGGAGCAATAATCCCTTAAAAAAAATAATAATTTGGTGACTCAATCCACGACTGTTTGTGGGGCACTGCTGTGCGCAATTGGCTGCTGTGTTTCTCTCACAAAATCTACAGTCGATTCTTTGCAGTAAATTCTGTGAAGCGCTTTGAGACGTCTCGAAGACGTGATAAGGTGTGATATCGAATGCAAGGATTATTATTGTAAAGTTCATGTCCCAAACAATTTGACAGGTAATGTCGTGGCTGTGGTGCACATGTCAGGCTATCGCCAGAGTGTGTGCCTGCTGGAGAGTGTAATAGAATTGCATGGGGAGAAATGAGAAGCAGTGTGTCCTCACTGACACCAGTTGTGGCCTCCACTGTTACAGCTCACATCATAGGTTATATGTCACAAAGCACCTTCTCCCCTGGTGTATTACCAGCAGAATGGGGTGTGCAATGGTTTACCACCTACCAGTTTGGGGGTGTATAGGAGCCCTGTCGGTCAGTGATTATTTTTCTGTTTACATAGTGTATTGGATCTTTATCGACGGGACCTGAGTTTAACGTCGAATCCATAAGATGTCACTCCGGCAATGGTGTACTGTGCCCCAGTCCTGCCGTCCTGGACTGTGAGCTCGAATCCCAACGTGGGGCTTGGATTCCCAACCTTCTGACTCGGAGGCAAGAGTGCTACAGACTCAGCCAAGCTGGCATGGCTCAAATCCAAGTGAACAGCTGGAGGAGGCTGTACTGTTTCAGGTTCAGCTTTACTCTTTTCAACTGACTACGTGCCAGCAGCTCTGTTAAACAAAAATGATGTTGAAAGTTTTGCTGGGAATGAGCACGACAATCCCCGCTAGCAAAATACCCAACATTGGATTGCCACCAAAACACTGAAGGCTGACTTACTGAAAAAAACATGGAGAGGTAAAATATTCTGGGAATTTTGTTTATTTCCACTTGTGGCCTGATCATTTCCTGAATAAGGTTTCTGCAAATTCTTGGCAGCTATTTACTGGATCCTGCTGTTTTTCATGTAGACAGCCAGTGAGTGGGTCCACAGTTGGTTTCAGTCGGCAAACACTTGGATCTTTGGATCGAGGCAATGTACCACTGAACAAACAGCCAAACTGCATGACACTATTGCATGGCAACACACTCAATTAATTGGCCGCTCATCTCGTTGCTGTTTTTTGGGATGTCCATCACTGCCGTTTCTCAACAAAACTTTCATTGCACTTCAAAGCAGCTGATTGTATGACGCTCTGTGTCCGCTGCCCGGATACTCACCCGCACAAAACTCTGTCTCCCCCGCCCCCCCATCACACCAGTCCTTGCCAGGCTCCACCGGCTCCCAATCATCAAACGGATCGACCTCAAGATGCCTTCACTCGTCTTTAAATCAACTTTGTTCCCACGCGACTCCCTACCACAACTGAGAGCTGAACTTGCAGCAAAAATATCTGGGTAGCAATTATTTGGGAAAGGGAAAGGAATATCACACAAATCCTGGATGACATTTCCACAGACTGGAAAGCAAATTCGGGGCCTGGAGGCATGCGTTCTAACGAAGTGTCCCACACAAGCCATTAACTTGCCTTTTTTCGCTTTCAGACGCTGACTGTTTGTGGGACGCTGCTGTGTGCCACCGGCTGTTGCGTTTCACCCACAAAATACACAGTCAATTCACTTTACAATGCTGTATATTCCGTGAAGCTCTTTGAGACATCGCAACAATGTGATAAGGTGCTTTATCAAATGTAAGGATTATTACTATTATTATTATTGACCGGCTGTGGATTTCCAACATTTTCTTTTTTTGATCTCAGCATTTGAGTCTTCTGTCTTTGCTCTTATTTCCCTGGTGGAATACCATGACACAGTTGATTTATTGTCTATTCGTGACCCCGCAACCTTAAGTAAGTGAGGATACATTGTGAAAATCACATCTTGAGTTCTCCCTTTCTAATAAAAAACAGCCTCTACAGACAATAGGTTTTTATTATTCTTCCCAGGAGTCGTGACATGAGACAGCAATTCCTTCTACATATAGAGGGAAAAACTGAATATAATCGGATCGTCCTTTTGGCCAGCGGAGAATACGCGAGTAACCAACACACACCTATCCCAAAAAGCATTCTTACCAATTAAATGAGTGAGATGGCATATCCTTCTATTTCACTGATTGCCCTAAGTCAGAGTGGTCCAAATGGCAGCTGCGTTCAACCCGGGGTCCGATTTGATCCACTGGCCCCCTCCAATCTTTCTGGCTCACCCGCTCCCTCCATAACCCTAAACGTTATGTTTCTGGAAGGGAAACGCAAAAAGATTGCGTGTGTGGTCTCCAATAGGGCATCCAGCCCTCAGCACCCAAAAAGTTGGACACCCCTGCGCTAAGCTACCTTGGCCAAATGGCCATCATTCATGCGTGAGCAGAGTAGTGAGTGTGAACAAACTGCACGGAGCCATCAAATCTGGTCGTGTAGGACACGTTACCAACCACCTTTTGTCAGTTATATTTAAGTGGCGCAATGAACCTGATTCTGTTCTGAAGCAATATTCAGACTTTTTAAATCGAGCACAAATCTCCTGATGATGGTGTAACCAGGACCTGAGCTGATTCCCTCCCCCCCAGAGGACTATTGTAGCCTCCCAAACGAGATCAGTGCATTCTAAACCTTGGCCTTCGAGTCAGGAAGAGCTTTCACCTTTATCACGTGGTCTATTTAGGATGCCGTGGCATTTAAGAACATAAGAATTTGCTGAGCGAAAGAGGACCAAGGTCCATCCAGTTTGCCTTCCACCCATCCCGACCATCGCTTGACATGTCCTGACCCAAACTGTATACTATATCCCAAGATAATCTGTTCTAACACAAATCTATCTAATTCATTCTTGAAACAAACGACACTTTCTGCTTCCGCCGTCTCCCTCGGGAGCCTGTTCCATATGTTTGCTACTCACGGATTTGTTCCGAATTTAACTCCTTCAAATCAGGCTAATTAAATAATTGACCAATTTTAATAAGGTGAAGGGCTACATGGAGCCACTGGGATTGCTCAACCAATTGTAGCTCAGTGGTTAGAGCACTCGCCTCGCAAGCGAGAGACCCGGGTTCGATTCCCGACAGAGCAAAACCTTGGGCAAGTTTCCTTACTCCACACGGCTGATAATAATCCCTCAAGAAGAAAAAAGATAATCAATTGGTCACTTCAATCCACGACTGTTTGTGGGGACGCTCCTGTGCGCAATTGGCTGCTGTGTTTCGCCCGCTAAATATACAATCAATTCACTTTACAGTATATTCTGTGACGCGCTTTGAGACGTCTCAAAGACGTGATAAGGCGCCATATATCAAATGCAACGATTATTATTATTGTTATGCTATCTGGAATATGGGCCTGTCGTCACACTACTCTAGTCAAAGGCAGTCAATCTGAAGGCTCTTTGGAGGCCCTCGGTTTCTCCAGGACATTGTGTCAAGGCCCAACATCAAACAAAGATTAATTATTTATTTTATCCATTGCATACATCATTGACTAACTTTCCACTGCCTTTGCCAACGGGTCATGGTGCACATAGCACACAACAGTTGAGTCTCGTTTCATGCAATGCAGCAACACATAGCATCTGTCGGACTGAAATTCTTCTGCCTCAGTGTAATCTTGATTGCAAGCATTTTAAGTATAAAGGTGTTCCCACACCAGATCCTAAGCATCCCTAAACATTTTCTACTCCCCATTTTCTGGCTGGTTTCCCTAGATTTTCTCCTGAAGTTTCACAATTTGTGAATAGATATACATAAACACACACACACAAAAGAACAGCACAGGAAAAATATTTTGGTGAAGCAAAGGAAGTTTACAACAAATAATAATAATCATCTTTGCATTTGATATAGCGCCTCATCATGTCTTCAGGACGTCACAAAGCGCTTCACAGAATATACTGTGAAGTGCAGCGACTGTGTATTTTGTGAGCGAAACACAGCAGCCACTTGTGCACTTTAATGTCCCACAAATGGTTGTGGAATGAGTGACCAAATTTTTTTAATTACATTCTCCTGCTCTTTCTCGCTCACGTTCAATATTACTCTTCCTCAAGGGTTTTATCGATTGCCTTTTAAACGCTCCGATACACTCAGCTTCAGCCATTTGCATTGGAGGATTCTTTATTCCAACATCTTCTAATGTGCAAAACCGTTGCATCTGACAACCCTCTATGCTTAAAACCTTTGCTTTTAATAGCCCTCGGAATCAGAAGACTGGTGTTGCATCAGTGTGCCACTGGCATATCAGTGAAAGATACAGAATACAGCTCGTCAGGACACTGTTTTTTTTTAACGTTGTATTATTTAATGTATAGGTAGATTACGAAATTGTCCACGTTCTCAACAAAGCCATTGAATACCCACAGCGATTAAGTAATCTACTCCACAGTTGGCTTTGTAGCTTCACAAATGCACCTCCTTTAAATGAGACAACAAGTTTTCGTGCACGTGATATACTCATTTATGAATTCCCTCCCCACCCACCGCGCCATTAACATTCAATGCAGTGAACTGTTTCACATTTCAGGTCTGCAGGGAAGAAGGAAAGGAAGGTGCATCTCATCACTAACAGTGGTCCAAACACTGCAAAACTAGGATGGAGTTCGGAAAAATTAGATTTGTGCTCCGTGTTTTCAACAAGAATCGACGCAATTAATTCTCACAAGATGCTGCAAATTCAGAAGACAGTTACACCAGACGATATGCTCTGCCACATAATTCAGTGTACAAACCCCCCCCTCCATTATGGCAATACATAATGAAGCAAAATGTCAGATTAAAAAGTTGTCATTACAAATCATCTGTTTTATTGAACAGGAATTTCATAAGCACATTATTCGTGGAGTTTACTCTCAAGTGCGAATACTTTTTCCCCCATTGTATTCCTAAATCTCTAGAGAAATATATATATATAATATATTCTATATATTATATATATATATTAAAAGATCCCTTTTAAGTTAGGCATAGCTTTGATTCCCTGGCTCTATAACAGGTACACCCCACCATTGCCAACAAATGTCTTCTGCAAGAAAATGTGACTGCATCTTCATTTGGCATCAAATGTCCCTATAGCCAATGCATCTTCAGTTTACAGCTCCACGTTTGTATAGTGACCTCAGGCGCTAACGGCTCTTGTTTTTCTTCAGGTTACCCTGCAAAGCACGAGAAAAGCGTAACATTACATAACATGACTGGTAGTTTGATGGTCGTTTAATCTTCCCCCCACTTTCCCACATTAACATCTTTGCAGTGAACGGTTTCACATTCAGTTCATCAGGGAAGAAGAAAAAGGGGAGGGAGGGAGCGTCTCATCAGCAACAGCGTCCAAACACACTGCAAAACTAGGGTGATATTGAGCGCTCTGGGATGGGGCGATATAAACGCAAGTTGTCGTAGTTGTTGATGCTTGCGTAATCGAGAGAACCGGAATGCCCAGATCACGCTTGCACTGGTGGAAACAAGATACAAGATACAATACAAGATTACATTGGCATAGCGTCTTTCATCGGGAGGACGCCTCCAAGGTGCTGGCATTGGCTGACTGGGGGATCTCTGCCCGTTGGCAACTATGTGAGGGCACAGAGGCATGAAGTCAGTGTCAGCGCCAGCTGAGGGGCTGGTCATTGGCTGCTCAGGAGAATCAACGGGACCATTTCTAAATAGACCCTGAAACAACTCGAACCGTCCCTCCACTGCAGTGTTGCGAATGATAAGGTGCCAATACTACCTCAATGTCTGGGTAGTGAGCTCTGACAATTCACACTGGATCAAGATACATAATCCCCATTAACAATGTTCAGATTACTCCACGGTCTATCCCACCCGAACCAAATGCCATCGGCTCCAACTTTACATTGCAATCCATACTCTCCACCCCTTGATTCTGGTCTAATCCTCACTCTCCACTCTTATTGCTCCAACACTGGTGACCACTCCTTTTGTTTCGTCTTTAACCGCCATGACTCTGTCCTCTGAAACACTTCCAAAACATTCTTCTCTCTCCCTTGAAAATGTCTCCAAAAAAAAAAAAAACTCTCTTTTAATTTTGGTGTCGTTGGTTGAATATCTTATTTCCCCGCTTGGTGTGTCCACCACTGCACTCTTGAGACATTCAATACCAGCTATATCAATGTACTGGAGTGTTCAATGTTCAAACAGTACTTGTCCCAAAGGATCTCACAAGTAGTGCACAAATAAGGGAATGTGGGTTTTTAGCTATCATCATCGTACTGGACAAATGCAACGGCATAACATTGGTGCAGCACTTTTTGAAAACTCCTGTTGAAATTGGCTGGTCGTCAACTAAAACATCCAACAATTGGCCAGACCCCATGTTGGAGAATAGGACAGTCAGAGGGATGGATCATTAATGCAGGCATTTGGTCAGGAAAAATGGTTAACCATTAAACCTTAAAAATTCCCCTTGACGGAAACTATGTGCTGAAAACAAAAAGGCATTTGGAACAGGATTTGACAATCTATGACTGCGGGATAATACATAATTTTTTAATACATATTGTTTGATCTGATAATGTATCTAAAAGCTACACTTGCAGTATGAAAAAGAAATTAACACGACATATTTGTAGGCATTACAACAACCAACTTCAGTTTCATTGTAGAAATTGTATGGTTTCCAGTTTGCAAACATCAGTCAGAACAACGCAGAGTAATCTGACTGAATGTGAGTATTATTTTTATTCTTATAGAGAGTACTACAACAACAACAACAAGATTCCATTTATTGAGTGCCTTTCACGTCGGAAGGACGTCCCAAGGCGCTGTACAGTTGGGTCAGGACCCGAGCATTGGGGGAGGGAAATGGTCAGGGTGAGGGGAGGGAAGGGAGGGAGCGAGGAGGGGGTAGAGAGTCGAGGGGGGAGCTGAAGGCACTGTCAAAGAGAAAGGTCTTGAGACCGGCCTTGAAGGAGGAAAGGGAGGAAGCGGCGAAGGCACTGGGGGATAGAGTACCAGAGCCTCGGGGCTGAGAGGCTGAAGGCCTGACCACCGATGGTAGGGTGGTTGGGGCGCGGGATGTGGAGCAGACCGGAGCCAGAGGAACGGAGGGTACGGGCAGGTAGGTAGGGGGATAGTAGGTCGGAGAGGTAGGAGGGAGCGAGGCCGTGAATGGCCTTGTAGGTGAGGATGAGGATCTTGAATTCGATCCTCTGGGGGATGGGGAGCCAGTGGAGGCGAGCGAGGGTGGGAGTGATGTGTTCCCGAAGGATATCTAGTGTTACTAGGATATCAAGAGAGCACAAGGATCTCGCACATACACTCGCACACCGATTTACCTTATTGCCCATACGAAGAGTATCGATTTCTTCCCTTTGTTTTGACAAGGTTTCATTCATACGACAGAGGTGGTCGCTCATCATGCTCAGCTGATCCTCATAGCTCCTTTTGGTTGTGGTTAGCTCATCCTGTGTGTCCAATAAAAGAAATCCCGTAGCTTAGTGATTAGAGCGCTCGCCTCACAAGTGAGAGGACCTGGGTTCAATTCCCGGGCAGGGTGAAATGTTAAGCAAGTTTCTTTACTCCACACACCTCTGTTTACCTCGCAGTAAAGTAGGAACCCGAGTTCAGCTCTCCGGGATGCCACCTGGGGTGAAGGGCACTATATAAATGCAAATTGAAGCTGCTGTTGGATCGCTTTTCCGGGGTTAATAGTCCCTTCAAAAATTATTTATTTTCTTAAATAATAATTTGGTCACTCAATCCACGACTGTTTGTGGGACGCTGCTATGCGCAATGGCTGCCGCGTTTCGCCCACAAAATATACAGTCAACTCACTTTACAGTATATCCTATCGAAGCGCTTTGAGACGTCTTGAAGACGTGATAAGGCGCTGTATCAAATGCAAGGATTATTATTAAGAAGTCAACACCACAACCATCAACAACAACAAGATTACATTTGTATAGCGCCTTTCACGTCAGGAAGACATCCCAAGGCGCTGGACAGACTATCGTCAAAGCCAAGGGCCTTTGGAAGTCGCGATTTATTGCTCAAGCAACTATGGAAAGTCTTTCTCAACTGCCTGTATTGTATTTAACAAGCATTAGACTGAGAGAAGAGATTCCTTTTTAATCAATCAATTCAGATGTAAGAGAAGACCTAATAAAACATTAATGCAAATCAAAAAAATCTGTTAGCGTTTAGTTAAACATGTTGAATTCATACAGGCTGCCTTCTCATTTACTATTGGAAGAAGAACAATGATCATTTCTTCTTCAATTTTTGTTTGTTGTGGCAGTTTCTCCCACGTAGCAATTCACGGATTGCAATGTGCTCACATCTGGTCATTGAGAGAGCTCACACAAGGGACGAACCAGACTGAGCTTGGCCCGCATACGAGAATTAACCAGAGCGGACTCCTTGTGTGTGTTCTTGTTGTGCACTTGGTCTGAAACCCAAACAGGCAGCAAGCTAGCAGATGTAACCAGCGTGAAGGTGGCTATATCAATGCAAATTGTTGTTGTAGGCTGCAATGTTAACTCACACAGCAGTAGCACGAATTTACATCCGTTCTTACCTGCAATCGCACAACATTCTGAGTGGCCACTTTAACTTCCTCTGAGAGCGTTTCCCTGGACTTCTCTCCCAGTGTTAACCGCTTAGCAAGGGCTCGGCACTACAGTATTTTTTTGAAGAGAGAATAAATATATAGGTTTAAACGGCTTGGAGATCACCGAACATACTAAAACACCAGATATTCACACGCAACCGATCTGTGTGCCTGCTGGACTCCTAATGCAGAAGTGAACAGGGGACTTGAGTGATACCAGCAACGAAGGGTAGCGGAGATCTGGAACCATCTCCCCCAAAACAATTCTGGATCACTCTAATTTTCAAGACTGAGGTGGATAGGTTTTTGTTGGGTAAGGGTATCAAGGGATATGGAGCAAATAATAATAATAATAAGCCTTACATTTGATACAGCAGCTTATTACGTCTTCTAGACGTTTCAAGATCTAATAGAATGGTGGAACACGCTCGAGGGGCTGAATGGCCTACTCCTGTTCCTATGTTCGTGCAAAAGAATCCCATTGCACAAAATGTTACGAGGGACGTGAGTTGCCCACTCAGCATGACTGCGCCAGCTGTGTTACTGTATTAATAAAAATAAACCTTATATTCAATATAGCTTTTCCAACTTGAGGATGATTCAAAGTCTTTCACAGGATATACTGCCAAGTTGGAGTGACTATTTTAGGCGAACAAGGCAGCTAATTTGCAACAACAATCTCCCACAAACAGCCATGAAGTTATGGGTCTCATGGCGTAACCCTGCACAATCCACAAAAGTGTTTTTTTCTAAAAGCAGTAGTGCAAAAGGATTTATGCTTTTGTTGCCAGGAGAAATGCAAAGTAAGTGAGAGGGAGATACACACACACACACACAAAGCAATGAGAGAGAAAAGGAGACAGAATAGTGCAGGACAATTTTTTAAAAAATCTTTGGGATTGGCCAGATGGAACTGGATTGTACACTCCTCTGATTCATGTCCCACAGATTAAAATTGCTAATGGGATTTGTGCATTAGCACCTTTATCAGGTCTAATGCCATCTAGGGTTAGTGTCAACTTCCCACGATAAGGAGTTTGCTCCGGGGAGAATTCGCTGCTGAAACAGTGTTTGTCAGGAGGCGTCAGTAATACTATCACTTTCACCAGCGGCGCTTTTCACTCTGGGACGCTGCCTTGAGTGAGGAGCGCTATATAAATGCAAGGTGGTGTTGCTGTTTTCGGCCCTAATGCTGCACATTAACATCGACTGTTTTACCTCTGAATAAAAATGGACAGACTTGCTATCTGCCACCTGAAGCTGTGAGGTGAGCTCTGCGACTCTGGTCATGTAGTGACTTTTGATCAGGTATTCTCGGGAGTCCTCGTGTAGAATCTAAAGACGGAAACAGACCAGATTCCTTCAGTGATAAAATCGCAAATGCGGATTACTTCTACAGTTTTCACCAATACATTTTCGTTTCAGTGTTACTCAGACATTTCATAACCAAACCAGTGTCAACATCCCCAATTCCCCATTAGTTTAAACACAATCCCCCTGGATATGATCTGCTATAACACTATGCTCACACTGTAATTAGCAATAGAAACCAAATGTACCTGAAGGGAAAAATAAAAGCTAGGTAGCGCGATATTTCGCAAAGGAACAGACAGTACTATACCTCATCAGTGCTGGTGGAAGTAGTCATATTTCCAACCTAAGGAGAAAACAAACCTTTTTTTAAAAATCAACGACAAAAGTGGAGTCATAAAGAAAACCTACTGGCGTGTCAGCCTGGCTCAATTGGCAGCCCGCTTGCCTCGGAGTCAGAAGGTTGTGGGTTCAGGCCTCAGATTGGGACTTGGAACTCATAGGCAATACTGACCCTCTGATGCAGCGTTGCACTTCCTCCATTCCCCACTTTAAGTGTGTGTGTGGGGGGCTGGGGTACACAAGGGCGGGTGGGGGGCGCAGGAGAACCTGCACAAGCACAGCACTCTGCTAGTGGCTTCTATCTGCCCACTGCCCCGAGAGTGAAGACATTTTTTCTCCGATTTGACTTCAGGATAAAAATATCCTCAAAGAATATGTGTAAAAGTAATGGTTCGTGAATTGTTGATTTAAAATCACTATTTATTGCCTTTGGGTACTTTTATGGAGCAGATGTCTTGAAAACTTACTGCATTATAATTATTTGAGGTGTTTTATAGTGCACGTAAGTTTATAGCCACACTGTGAATCCGCACATCTGGCTTCCGGCACGCAAATACAGAGAGTAACACAAGCAGTGAACAGATGTTTCGCCCACACAATACACAGCCATTACACTGCACTTTACAGTATATTCTGTGAAGCGCTTTGAGACGTCTCAACGACGTGATAAGGCGCTATGTCAAATGCAAGGATGATATGTAGTGCAGAGGAAGGGACGGGTGTAGGTTTTCTGTACATAATGTACAGGAACTGACATTTGCAGTGGTTTTGACTGTAGAGCAGACAGTTAATGGGCTTGAACAAGCTCTTTGCAGTATTTTTTCCGCAGGGAATTAGGTATGTTACAATGACTCGAAAGATGTTGGCTCTGATGTAAGATCCACAATGAATTAAGATCGTACAAGTTACGAGTTGTGAGGGTTTCTCTGCAGTGAAGTTTACGTTGTGAAGTGATCTTTCTGGCAGTCAGGCCCCAATAAATGTTGTTATCCAAAGCTGGGTAATGCTGGGGTTGAGAATCAAAACAGCACGCAATCATTGAGTCCTATTGAGCTTCTTGTTGAGACTACAAGAAAAACAACACTATATTGAGCTCTTCGCTTAGGTTAGCATCTCTTTGAGCACCAACTAGACGTCAGATCACTTGGCTTGATAAGAGGACGAGGTTTAAGCAGCAGGAAAGCTTTGTCAATAATCACAAGTTGACTGTAGCATCGAAGGTCTTGTATCATTCACATCTCTTACCAGACTTGTGCTTGTAACTGGTTTTCTGGATTCCTGTTCAACAAGGGCACCGGTTTCTAAGTTGAGTGCAGAATCTTCCTCCTGGTTCGAGTCAACCAATGGCATGTGTCCAGGGAAAGTGGTTTTAAGCTGAACTTCCAAGTCTGCTATTCTCTGATTCTCTTTTTCCAGTTTTATTTTGGCCAGTTGGGTCTCCAGCATCCAATGCTCCTTCTCTTGTTCCAACTTTGCTATCTTCTCTTGGCTTTGTATGACCTGGAGAAAGATAGGAGGAAAAATAAAGCTTGAAGGTGCTGCAGACCTTTTTTGCCACATACAACAGCCTCAGCACTCCTAATAGCACTCATAATTCAGCCCTTGGGACATCCTCCTGACGCAAAAGGCACTATACAAATGTAATTTGCTGTGGCATTATAAATAATCCTTGTTTTTGACATAGCGCATTATCACAGCTTTGAGACGTCTCAAAGGCGCTTCACAGAATATCCTATATTGACTTACGTCTATCAAAATTCACGGTGCATTCAGTGTGCTTGTCATTACCTGCTGCGAAAGACCTTCTCGGCTTTCGGTAGAGCTCAGAAGGACCTTGCGATTTACCAAAGCTTCTTTGTAAGGCACTGATTCTGGACAAGGCTGTAGGAAGATGGCTCCAATTAGATCAGTGTTATTCATAATTAAGCAGAGAGAGAAAAAAGGTACGCTTTGTTCTTTTGGACTGTTGGCTCCCAGGGTGACAAGTTTGTTGACGGTAGATAAGAAACGAGCCAATTCTCTATGGTGTCTTCCTGAGCCAGATAGGTCCATAGTTCTCCAGGACATGGCCAATGATGGACGAACTCGAGGCGCTGATCACTTGTTGGGGGCTGAGATTTCAAGCTGATAAACTTGCAAGCAAAAGCCTTAAAGGGTCAGGGTAGGGTGGACCTACCAGTGGGAAACTTGCCAGTGTTAGCTTTGGTAAGGTGCAAGGTGAGTAAACTTTACAGGATTAGGTAAGCAGAATGCATATCCCTGGCTTGACAGCACAAACTCTATTCGGGACAAACGGAGACTGTACTAATACGGAACGCTCAGTAGCTTCGGTTTGGATACCTTTAAGCATAGATGGGTTTCCACGTGTATCAGATACCCGGTTGACCACCCCACAAAAATGGATCCCAGCTGGGAGATGTTGGTATTCAGCACTTCCCTTGTTGCTAATACTACCTACCTACTTGCATGGAACCGTCATTTCTATGGCTCTTCCCACCCATGGGGTGAAGTACTATCCTGGGGAGGTGGAGAATGTGGTGGCGTGGAAAGAGAATGTAAGCAGGATCTCCTTAGAATTGAGATGCCTCTTGCCAACCAGACCCTTATAGAACTGTGCTTAAAATCAAAGAGTTCAGCTCTAACAAAATGCAACACAAAAATCCACACCAACCTTCTTCAGAGACTGAATATAAGCGTGTGCTTTCTTCTTATTCTCCAGCATGCACTCTGCAGAAAGGGGGTGTATAACCCCCATTCCTCCTTTTGAACTGTACACCGAGGGAGAAGTGAAGAAGTCTAGGTTGTTGCTGAAGTATGTTCCAATCTGGTGAAAGAAGAAACCCAAACTGTAGATAAGTACCAACACTGGAGGTCAGCTGTACACTTCTCTCTTACAACCGGTTGTTCAGATTCCATATTATTCATTTTCAAACAGTTATAGAATAATAATAATCCTTGCATTTGATATAGCACCTTATCACATCTTCGAGACGTCTAAGAGCTCTTCACAGAATATACTGTAGAGTGAATTGACCGTATATTTTGTGGGCGAAACGCGGCAGCCAATTGCGTACAGCAGCGTCCCACGAACAGTCGTAGATTGCGTGACCACATTTAGTTATTTATTTTTAAAAAGGAGCATTATCCCTGGAAAACTACTTTTTTTTTTGAAGGGATTATTATCTACTGTCACCAGCTGTATAATTTCTAGAAGAAACAAGTGTGCCTGCATGCCTCTGCCTACCACAGGCAACGTCTGTGTAGAGCACGGCTCAGTGACAAAGACATTGGCCAGTGTCAGATGTCCTGCATTGAGTTTCGCTCCACACTGTTACCCAGAAAAGGCAAGTTTGAACCGGGCTGTGATTGCACCTCAGGGTCAAATAGTTTGCAGACACTCGCTCCAGACTAGCACGTGAAGTGTGTGGAAGGTACCAGAGAGTGGTTGCCGTCCGTTAAACCGTTCCTGGTCGCATGACAGTACCTTCAGGGGAAGAGAATTGAAGAACAAATGCTACACGTTACTTCTGTTACTGTGACCATAGCTTTTTTTTTTAAGAAACCAAAAAATCACTGAAGACGTAAAGCTATGAAAAAAATTCCTGTATGACCCACAGTAAAAAAAACAGAAATTTTAACTAATTCCAAGCCTTTTCATAGCATCTTATTTATTGACCACGATTTCGAGCTTTGATACAATCCCGCTGAGGACCTTGACTAATGTATAGAAAACAATGAACACATTTGCCGTCGATGCTTTCCAACTAACCCTAGTGACATAACCACACAGCTATGCTGAATTTGGCAAACTTTTTTTGATATAAAGTCAGCAACGAGATGTCTGTGCTTCCTTTGTGTTGAGCAGATTTTGCAAACTAAGTGAGAGCAATAAACTGTGTGAAGATGAAGAAGTGCCAAACCATTCAGCCGTGTACACCAATACACACACACTAATACACACTAATACACACACACACACACACATATATTGTTGCAGCGTATTCCAGAATGCATTAGTTACAGACACGGCTATATATTAAATGCTGGTGTCTTTGCCATCACTGAACTTTTAGCAGTCGACCTGCCTCATTTACCCCTCATTTACACACGCACTCGCACATCAACTTAAATCATTCTGTGGACAAAAAGCTGCTCATCGGCCTTTCAGCTCCAATATCATGTTCTGCATGATCTCACCCTTGGCTTTCCACATTGGAGTTGTCTGTCCATCCACTTGGAACACCCAGCTGCTCTGCATCTGAGAACACAGCCCCCTCCTCCCCGCACACACACCCAGCTGCAATCCACACATTCCCACGACCCGGACCTTCACACCAATCCAAACCTGTCACTTTGGAACACAAAAAAATCCCTCAAGCGATTTAAGGAACAGAGTGAGAGAACGAGAGAACAGCACAGTTCCCGGTATTCTTCATCTAGAAAAGAACCATGGTTGTTGGAACTTCATATAATGTCTCTACTTCAGCATTCGTGAAATCTAACTGAAGTTTAGAGTGCAGCCTTACCTCGGACTAGATACACCCAGGTTTTATGGCTACCATCTCCTCTCGTGCAAGCTGAACAAATTGCACCGCAACTTTTGACACGTAGCAATTTAAAGCTTCATAGAAAAGCAAGTCAGAAGAAAAATATACAGGGCGATCCCAATAAGTGTGATGGTTTGGGTCCATGAAATTAAATCGAGTGTTATGCTAGAAAACTAGCCATGAAAAATAGTTATAAAAGTGTAGCGCACTTCCGGTCTACGTTGTAACCTTGCTATTAAGTGGACTATATACCAAGACAACACGGCATATATTCTCTTCCCCCCCAGTAAAGATATTATTTGCACTTCCTGGAATGAAAGAAAATATGAACGAAATCGGGAAAACAACTAGCTTTAATAGTTGTACAGCTGGTCTAGATTGAAAGATATAAAATGATGATTGATACACACCCATTTTATTTGTGGAAAAAAAAACTTGTTACAGTGCCTGTAAATGTCACAACGTCTCAGGCGCTTTACAGTAATTACTGTGAAGTGCACTGACTGCTTTTGTTGGCAAACATGGCAGCCGCTCTTGGACACAGCAAAGCCCCAAAAATAGCCTTTATTAGATGACTGGTTGCCAGAAACTGCAGGGCCATGAGTGAGGGGAACACAAATGCAGTTTAACGCCTTATCCAAAAGAACAGTGAAGTATTGTGAGTTTGAAAAAAACAGTCACCATCCATTATCCAAATAGAAGCATTAGCACTGACCGTAATCATATGTGGCAACCGACTGACAACTGCCACTTGCTTCCGTGTCAAATTACAACCACAATCACAGCTGAAGAGTGTAAAATAAAAAGATTACCTTTCCTGAAACATTTGACAATGCCACAATGGAAGACAGGATGCAGTCGTTAGTCGTTTTAAGCTTCTGTGTTACTGTGGGGAGCTCCTGTTCCAATGAAGCCTTCTGATTGTAATGCTTCAAAATATCTAACAACATTAAAAAAAAAGATTTAACGGTGGTGAATCAATATCAATACAAGTTACACGTGTACAGTACCTTTCACGTCAGGAGGACGTCACAAGACACTGGACAGTCAGGGATTTGGAGTCAATAAATAGAATGCTCATAAGAGTCCTTCTTCTCCCACTCATCCCCTTCCCTACTCCGAATCTGATCTACGCTCACCGCCCCCCCACTCCTCCCTCCATCACAGCTCAGCCTTCAGACACCATGACCCTGCTCTGGAACTCTCTGCCAAACTCCCTTCATCTTTTCTCCCAGATTCAAAACTCTCTCAAGAACACGTCTCTTTGACCGCGCCTTCATCCAGTACCCTCAAAATCACTTCCCTTCCCACCTTGCTCGGTAATCCCAGGCTTTTGTTTTGAGTCACTGTCCTACATGAAATGTGCAATTTGTCCTTCATTCCTTCCTGTATGGAGGAGCTGTGTATTTCTGGGGGCTGCTCAGCGCCTTAGGACGTCCTCCCGAAGTGAAGGGCGCTTTACAAATGTAATTTTGTTGTTGTTGCTCAGAAGGAGAACCTTACATACGCTCTGCCCTGGCAGTTATCCGGGAGTAAAGAAAATGTACTGACATGAATTGCGTAGTCCAGTCGCAATCAAATTCAAGCGCTGAGAGACAACATCAATAACATGATTGACTGACAGGCTGACTATGAGCAAAACTGCGCAGGTTTTACTCCGGCTGTGCAAAGAAGATGCTCCAGGCACATGTGGATTAGCAGCAGTTTCGCTGCCAGAAGCAAACAGAACGTTACAGAACAGGTCAGTGTGCCCATCAAATCTGCATTTTTCTCTACATGATCCCACACTCTCCTCGCCTCTCCTATCCTCGTTAGCATTCTTTTCCAAGCATCGAATTTCCTTTTAAAGTAATCCATCGACTCTGATTCAGCGGTTTGGCACACAGAATTCTACATTTCAACCATGCACTGTGCAAAGATATTTATTGTAATCTATCGTTTAATGCTGTCACAGCTAGAATACAAAGTGTAGTGTTTTTATGGCTCCTTTGTTCCGCAAGAGAACAATAGCGCCTTAATTTATTTTTGCACATACATATAGGTTTGCACTAGATTTCTAAAAAAAATACGCGTTTGGTTTATAAATGGAATGAATTACATTCAGCTGGAGCTCACTATAAATAAACTCGTGATGTAATGTTCGTACATATGCTTCACGAGTGAAAGAAGTTTGGTAGTGCATAGATATTGTAATCTAATGTGGGTATATTCTATCTGAAAAAAAGCACGGAGGCTATACAAAGGAAACATGTTATGGCATATAGAGAGGTGTCAACTCAATAAAAATAAATCAGCACATCCTGGTGTGTAAAATTGGGTAGGAAGCCTATTTCAAAAGATACAAAGCAGAAACCTTGCTGTGACAATTTAGAAAATTGCCTTAGTCACTGCAGTTATGTATAAAAAAAACAGGAACAAAGGCAAGCAGATTTCTGAAAGCCATTGTTTGCACAAGACTGCTCGATTTCTGTTGGAATCAAAAAGACAACGTCAAATGACACCCCCAGCATAATGAGCCTTGAAACAACAACAAAATGACGTGCGTATAGCACCTTTCACGTCAGGAGAATGTCCTCCCAAAGCGCTGGACAATCAGTGTTTTGGTTTGAAAGGCTCGTTGCTTCCCCCATGAGGTTCAAAGACCCCTGAAATTGTTTGGTTTAAGATTGCAGGACGTTAGCCAGGCTAGGCAAACACTTAACGGGGGGAGAGAACAAACAGTATACATTTCTGACAGCACGTCTGTAGAAAGAGAGAAAGGAGAGAGAGAGAGAGAGCAGGCAAGAGCTTGTTTTTTAAGGAAAACTTACTAATTAAACCATTTTGAAACTAGTAGCTTTTATACTTAGTTTTCTCCTATGTTATGTCTTTTACCCGGTTCTTTATATTCCGTGTTGCGTACATAGTACCTTGTTTTCATTAGTTATTAGATTGTAATTGGAAAACAGGTGAGATTGGAGATATTATTTTGCTTCCTATATAAAAGACTGAGAAACAGAATTGCAGTTTTATATCTTTCCAAACAGTGTCATGGGTTCTTTATTGTCCACCTAAATAAGCAGTTGACCTTAGTTTAGCATTTCATTCAAAGGATAACACCTCCAACAATGAAACTCTCCCCCCAACATTGCACTGGAGTCAAAGTCACTGACACAGGATTTGAACCCACACCTTTCTAACCCAGAGAGAGCAATGCTGGATCTTTTCAATCAAAGATTTATTTTTTAATTTTTTTAAAAAAACGCTGTGTGATCAAACAGCAATCAAATACACTGATCAGAATTGGTTTGTGTGAAAGACAATCTAGCTGCGTGCCGGTTTAAAGCATCGCCTATTGCTGAGCTGACGCATTTACTATTGCTAAGATAGTGACGTTGAAACAAGCAATCCCATAATGTTGTAACTTTGGCAAAAGGAATCTATTGCACACCACGTGGAAGCCTGAGTACAGAAAGAACTGCAGGAGTATTTAATTATGTAATTATGTAATTAACCACTCGTCAAAAGGGACTGGTTGTTAATTAAAAAATTAAGGTATTTGTAATTGCCTCTCTACACGTGGTGTACACATGGAGCACAATAGCTTCCAAGTCTGCCAGTTGTGTTGTGACCTTGAACCAGGCACTCTATGTAGAAAGGAATCCTTGCAGCCCCCTTATTGGCATTAAAGCCATTTTATTGCTGTGTTTGCATTACCTTTTGTGACATCGTGTAGTGAATGAAGACAAGCAGCAAGCTGTGTGAAAACAATGTTGTGGTTGGTCTGAAGAAGCATTTCAGGTTTTGTGCCTGTAACGAACAAGAAACGCAAAGTAAAAATTCAGTTGAATATAAGACAGCAGCTCCATTGAATAAAATATAAATATACCCTGAAATATTTAATGCTGGATAATTAGTGCTCAGTATTGGTAGTTGTGTGTGTGTGTGTGTGTGTGTGTGTGGGTGTGGGTGGGTGTGAGCCGGACGGGGGAGAATGATAAAATGGGAGCAAACTTCCCCCTCAATAGTTAAAAACACATTCATTAAGTGTTCCTGATCCCAACCACCAGCTCGGGTGCAGATCTCTGACTGTCCAGTGCCTTGGGACGTCCTCCCGACGTGAAAGGCAATTTGTTGTTGTTCACCCACTGCAGGTTTTAAAACAATTTCAGGAAGGACCAATAATTCTACACTGCTGTACGTAAACTCTGCTAATGTGCATTGTATAAAATGCCCAGATAATCAGCATTCTAGATGCAATAGCACCCGTTGCGTCTTCCATAATTGAAGTGACAACTTGTGCAGATCGATGTGTGTGCTCTCCTCACTGGAGCATCCCTGAGTTTTCGCTACCAAGACAGCAGCGGAGCAAATACTTGAGCAAAAGAATGGACACAAGGAAATAATGCACCAAGCCATTACTGTTATTAAGAGTTATTGACTATCCACTAAAAAAAAAGCCACTCTGAATGGCAGCTTCCAAACACCTACAGTAAAGGGTTTGAAGACGTCAGCATCAAACATACTTTTAAGCAACGGAGACAAAGGCATTCTGTGAACTCACTTGGTAAAGCCAGGAGGCTGATATAAACCTGCAGCTTCTCAAAGACAGCAGTCAGCTGTTTCATATCAGATTGTAGCTCCAGGTTTCTGGCTTGTAAATGAGCTGTGCAGAGAGGAGACTCACATTCCTCCTCTAAACTAAGAAGTATTTGAACAAAGTAAAAATGAGTAAGATTCCTGACAAGCATCTGAGCCAAGCATTTCTGAATCAACTCCCACCCACACTCCCTCCACATACACATTTCTGAATGAGTCTCAATTGAAGGAATTGTATCCAAAACATAACAGCCATGTTTTATGTACACATATATATTATATATATATATATACACACACACACACACCTAAAACAGTATGTTGTAGGACTAAGATTCTGTAAAGAGCAGGATATAATTAACTAGAAGAGTAATCTTCACTCATGTGCCCTGAGAAAGGAGTACATAAGAATTTTACGAATAATGATTGCTTGGGCAAAGTACCAGAGGGTTTCTGTCAATGTTCCTAAGAATAACAGATAAATAAATCCAGCTTCTACATTATCAATGTCTCCATGAAAAGCTACAACGTTTATTTAAGAAGAATCGGTCCAGTGAATTTACCTTTTCAACTGATAGGGCAGAATCTTCTTCAGAAAGCACACATAAGCGTTAAGGTTTTCAGAAAACGGTTTGAGTTTCACAGCAGTTTCCTAATAAAAAAAAGTGTGTGGGGGGGGGGGGAAGGGGGGAGAGAAGATTAGTGTTCTCGACGGAAAACAGAATTTGTAATTTAAATTAGAAACATGTGCTGTTTTTATGTTCTCTCCACTCCAGGTTAAATATTTTCAATAATTGGTACCAGACAAACTCCAACACCACAGATCAAGTTTGAACTTGTGCCAAAAAGTATTAGAAACTGCGCCTTTGGCCTCTTTTTACACGTTCAGACTTCAGACCTTACCAGAGAGGTAACAGTTTCCTCAGTGATGCTCTCGTACAGATGTAACATTCCGTCCTCCAGAGGGCGAACGTAAGAGGCGTTCTCATGGAGATACTCGGAAAACTTTTTTAAAAAAAAGAAAAGTATTTTACAACATAGCTCTGGTAATTATATTCGAGAAAGTAAGAACGTTCTTTCTACAAACAGTGTGATCGTTATAGAAGGTGTGTTTGCCCACAAAATATACAGTCGAGTCACTTTGCAGTGTGTAAAGGTACTGGTGTTCAATTTGTTTTTTTTAAAAAAAATGATTTTCACAAATACCCGTTTTGTTTGGTTAAAAAAGTTTGGGGTTAATTGGTTAAAAAAAAACTATTTTCACCCGAATTTAAATTATAAAAGCTGATTTTTCCTATTGATTGATTAAAATTGATTTTGCCAATGATTTTCTATCTGTGATTGTATGCATTCAACTGAAGCTCATCTCATCGCCTGTCCCACATTCCCCTCAACAAGCCAGTGCAATAGTACATGAACTGTTCCTAAGGAACAAGACTCGATGAACCCTAGCACCCACTACATGGAGATATTCAAGAAGACATCTCAACCTCCATTCTCATTGATTTTTTACCGCCTGCCATTTTTGTTTCTCTTCTGAAGGCATCTGAGTACTTCTTACTTAATGGGGCACAAACACCCTCTCCCTAATTCAGGGTTAAGGAGCCAAACCAACATCACTTATTGCTATCCAGGGTGAAATCAGCTAACTGAGCAAAGACCATAATTCAAGCATGCATTGTCCAGTGATCCATCGGAATTGCTTTGCTCATGTAGTTATTATTTTTAAACAATAACAAACACGACTTCTGTGCTAGAAACCAAACTATTATACAATTAAATTCTTGGCAGAATGAGACACATGGGTCGGTTGAAATTGTTTCCTTCATACGTTCTTTGTCCAGGAAACAAAACGTACCTTCTGGTTCAGTGAAGATACAGTATCTGTCGCAGAATCAATGGGGTAGATCTGAACCCTCTGTTCCATATACGTATGCAGATTCAACAACGCTCCTACCAGGTCGCGAAGAAAAGCCAGCGCCTGGCTGGCAACATCCCGAGCTTTCAGCTGAAATTGAATATCTCAATTACAACTCTATACATAGGACATAGAACATATATATAATAATAATACTTGCATTTGATATAGCGCTTTTCACGTCTTCTAGACGTCTCAAAGCGCTTCACAGAATATACTCTAAAGTGAATTGACATGACAGATTAAGCATTTCAGTCAATAAAGAACTATACCGTACTTACAAAGTGCATTGTTTTTCAATGAAAGAACTAGCCTTATTATAGCACTTTTCTAGTCAAAAGATATTTATATGTACTTGTGGTCTCGTGACTTGTGTTTAATCCAAAGGTGCCTTTCTGTGTTCTGTGCCATAAAAAAAAGTCACTGGACAGCCAAGGCATCAATGACTAATTGATGCTAGAGAATTGGTGGCCAGAACGTCATGAGAAACTCCAATTTCTTTGAAAATATTATTTTGATCTTCAACATCCATCCGAACATCAGGCAGATGGGACCTCAGTTTAATGTCTCATGCAAAGGACATTTATATCCCCTACGCACATCCAAAGGGAGTTCAATATCAGCAAATGACAGACATCACCAGTACCCAACTAAATACCCTCAAAGATCCATCTACCCCCACCCTTATTACACTCAACCACATCACATGCAGTGCTTCCCAAATGTACAGCATTTGTATTTGATATAACTTCTTAACACAGTGAAACGTCTCAAAACAGTTTACACATCAAATGCAGCAACCCTATTTATAGATAACTACTTTGCGCACATTAGAGTTGCTAACATCTCCAGTGCAACATCTGGGCAAATACCTTGAAACGTAATATGACCGCAAAATGTCATGTTGCATAAAAATAATAGTTATCCAACTTGTGCTGTTAAGCATTTTGAGACCGCGCAGTGTTGCATAAACAATACAGTTGATTTACAACACACAAGGGCTTATTTAGCAGATGGGTTAGTGTCTATGCCAATAACAGCAAGTAGTGTATTCATCTGGCTCCATCCAGGCACAGCTTTGACGATCAACCTGGAGAGCAAGTAGCTGTTCAAAGCTACAGAGGGAGGAAGACGTTCCTCCACCCCCCGTACTGTCTCATGTGGAGTCCCTCAGGGTTCTGTCCTCGGTCCCCTCCTCTTCACCCTCTATATGCTCCCCCTGTGGTGACATCATCTGCAGACATGGAGTTAACTTCCACATGTATGCGGATGACACCCAACTCTACCTTTCCTCCTCTACCCTCAACTCCACGACCACCGATGTCCTGACAGCTGCCTGTCCGACATCGAGTCCTGGACGAGAGACAACTTTCTTCAGCTCAACGTGCGAAAAACCGAGGCCCTCCTGATTGGCTCAAGTCAGCGCCTCCGCACCTCAGGCGCTGACACCATCAGCATCCAAGGCTGCACTCTCCACCTCTCAAAGCCGGTCAGGAACCTCGGCGTTTTGTTCGACCCTGAGCTGTCCTTTCTCCCTCACATCCGCACCACAACTGGCACCGCCTTCCATCACCTCCGGAACATCGCCAGATTACGGCACTACCTCACCCCTCACGCCGCTGAAACCCTGGTTCACGCCTTTGTCACCTCAAGGCTGGACTATGGGAACTCTCTCCTCGCCGGCCTTCCCGCCACCTCCCTCCACACTGCAGGTCATTCAGAACTCTGCAGCTCGTGTACTGTCCCGCACCAGACACCGCGACCACGTCACTCCCACCCTCGCTCGCCTCCACTGGCTCCCCATCCCCCAGAGGATCGATTTCAAGATCCTCATCCTCACCTACAAGGCCATTCACGGCCTCGCTCCCTCCTACCTCTCCGACCTACTATCCCCCTACCTACCTGCCCGTACCCTCCGTTCCTCTGGCTCCGGTCTGCTCCACGTCCCCCGCCCCAACCGCCCTACCATCGGTGGTCGGGCCTTCAGCCTCTCAGCCCCGAGGCTCTGGAACTCCATCCCCCAGTGCCTTCGCCGCCTCCTCCCTTTCCTCCTTCAAGGCCGGTCTCAAAACCTTTCTCTTTGACCGAGCCTTCAGCTCCCCTCTCGACTCTCTACCCCCTCCTCGCTCCCTCCCTTCCCTCCCCTCACCCTGACCATTTCCCCCCTCCTCGCTCCCTCCCTTCCCTCCCCTCACCCTGACCATTTCCCCCCTCCTCGCTCCCTCCCTTCCCTCCCCTCACCCTGACCATTTCCCCCCTGCTCGGGTCATGACCCAACTGTGCAGCGCCTTGGGACGTCCTCCTGACGTGAAAGGCGCTTTATAAATGGAATCTTGTTGTTGTTGTCTATTGGACGCTGCTGAGGCATCCTCCCAATGTGAAAGACACTATATCAAATGTAAAGATTATTATCATCATCATCATCAATATCTAACAGTGGTGACTGTGCGGCACTTACAATATCATTTCCATTAGCACAAAAGTCACAGGGTGGGAAGTGAGCACAACTTAGGAATTTTGCTCAAATTCTTTTCTACTTCTCTTAGTTACAAGAGGACACAAATATAACATCCCAAAAACAAGGAATGGGGGGGAACAGAAAAATATGTCTTAACAAATATGGTGATTGGAAGATGAATATGAAGTGATGTTGAGGGGAAAAAATACTATTGTTGCATCTAAGTAAAGTTGTGCCCAAGTTCATTACAGTGTGCAACACTAGGTCAGCGTCCTTGGAAACCAAACTGGCAACCTCACACATGTGGACAAAAAGTATTTTAGCCTGTACTTCATCATTATACATCCAACTTCCACTTGGGAAGCCCTTGTGATTAAACGGACATGTTGTTAACGGCTTTCTTATGTTCTTTCTTATGTTCTTTAAGATTCTGAAGGGACTAGATAATGTAGACCATGATAAGCTGTTTTATCTCGTACTGAACAGTAGAATCAGAGATCAGAGGACACGGCCTGTGATTGAAGGCGGTTAAATTCAGAACAAATCTGTGGAGACACTACTTCAGTGAGCGAGCAGTAAACTTACGGAGCAGGCTCCCTAGGGAGACAGTGAAAGCAGAAAGTGTTGTTTGTTTCAAGAACAAATTAGATAGATTTCTACTAGAAAATAATATCTCGGGATACAGTATATAGTTTGGGACACGACTTGTCAAGCGACTGCCAGGACGGTGGCAGGGGAACTAGATGGACCTTGGTTTTCTTTCACCGATCAAATTCTTATGCTCTTATGGCTTGTGGATAAATGGCATTCTACTGTAGGGTTATATTTTATAAATTATGACTGAGAATGAAAAGGCAGGAAGAGATAGAATAACTAATCAATTAAACAATTCCCACTACTCAGTTCAAGGATACTCACCTGATGTCTCCGATCATGGACCGGTACATTCAGAGTGTTGTACTGAGTAAACCCTGTGTAGAAATGAGACATTAAAAACATCTTTTGAACGGTTTTTCACCATCAAGAAACAAATAACTCAACAGGACCAACTAATCAGAAGAGCAATGGTCTTTTCTAGTCCTGCACATTCTTATGTAGAAAACAGGAGTGTGAGAAGGTTTACTTTCAGAGAAATTTGGACAATACTTAATAGTCACAAAACGACACCACTCCGGCCACGGGAGATTGATAAAACCAGTCTGGGCTATCCTTCAGAAGAAAAGGCAACATCCTGCCTCAGTGTGAAATATATGCATGTTCAGGATTGGGCTCTGATACAATAACCTCTGCAGCGAACTCGCCCACAAACACTCACTATACATGTCAAGCCAGAAACATCAATCAAAATATTGTGGCTTGTAATCATAAGATCTATAATAAATAATAATCCTTGCCTTTGATGTAATAATAATAAATCTTGCATTTGATATAGCACTTTTCAAGTCTTCTCAATGTCTCAAAGCACTTCACAGAATAGACTGAAAAGTGAATTGACTGTATATTTGTAGGCGAACGCGGCAGCCAATTGCGCACAGCAATGTCTGTCCCACAAACAGTCGTGGATTGAAAATGACCAATTTATTATTGTTTTGTTTGGGAGGGATTATTATTATTACATGTGTGGAGTAAGGAAACTTACCCAAGGTTTTTCCATGCCTGGAATTGAACCCAGGTGTCTCCCTTGCAAGGCAAGTGCTCTAACCACTGAGCTACAGGACTCCGTAGCTCAGATCTAGTTACCCTAATAAGGCAACTTATCAATTTGTTACAATTGATCTTAAAACTCATGGTGATCCGCTCATTTTTGTTATAACCACATTTAAGCTGCAATAAAAAAATATTCACCAAAACATTGAGCAAAGTTTGTGGTCTTCCATTATACCAAGAGACAGACCTGGAATCACGAAACACGAAAAACAACAAAGAAAAACTCACTCGTGTCATTGAACGATACTTTTTCTTGAATGACACTGGCCGACTGGTCCAATCGACTGCTCAGATCGTCGTATGTATTCTTCAGCTGTTGCTGACTGTTTTAAAGAGATTCAAAACCGGTTACAAGTTGTGTAACAGTGTGGAATGATCGGTGGCAAGTAGCACAGGACAAATGATAGCCTTACCATTCCTCGGCCCTCAGCCTACATTCCTTTGCCTCTCTCTCCAACGACTGGGACTTCACCTGGGGGAGAAAACAGCAGGTTCTGTAAGAAAAGCTTGCAGCTGTCTTGTCACTTGTGACAGGGGTCTTTAAGTTACACCTGCGCATGTGGGTGCGGAATATTTCTGGACAAAAATCAGCCGCCTTCTAACTTTACAGCTCAGTCTAAAGGCTTATTGAACCTGCAAATCAGCAAATGATTCTGACATTTATGGGGCTTTTGAAACAGACTAATTATAATGACTAAACAGCTGATAATTATTTCCTTTCCTCCCATTTAAGGACACAGGAGGAGTTTTGATGAAGAAGACCTTTCAGCCCACTTGAACTCAACCTTCCACAATACCCATCTTACCGTTTATCTATTACAGCTTCAAGCCATTCCTTAAATGAGTCCCAACATCCTCGCCTTTGCAACCCATCTTGGCAACTCTTTCCAGCTGTTGATCACTTTCTTCAAATAAATACTTCCTGGCATCTGTCTTAAATGGTCCTTCACAACCCTGAATCCATGACCTCTTGTCCTGCTTGTCTATGCATATCTGAAGGTATTGCCTCTCTATTCATTAAGCAGCTTATGTACCTTTCTATAAGATCCTCTCTGAGGCAGCAGTTTTCAAGGTTGAAGAGTTTTAGCTTATCTAGTCATTTCCTCATAGTTCATCCCTCTGCATTAGAGAATCAGCCTTGTTGCTCCCCTATTGCTGTCTCCGAGTCTACGCAGCTTTAAGTTGCGTTTTAAAAGGAGTTACTTTTCTAAACATTAAACTTCAAAGCCTCATCTTCCCCCCGGAATACCGTGTTTTTGATATCTTTTAACTGTGCAGAGATTTTTTTTAAAAACCAATTTAAGATGTTTATAACGCATACAACAAACAGCTTGCATTTACACAGTGACCCTCACACAGGGTAGCGTCCCAGAGCACATCCGGAGCAACCACCTACCTTTCCCTGCTTTGAGGCTCGGCAATTGGCGTCACCGTCAAAGCGATGGAACGAAACGTGCTCAACACAGAGTGACCACTTCACCACACCACAAAGTAGAAACATCCAGTAATTCTGCAATGAGTTTTCAGAAACAAACCCTACCTTGCGAGCTCCCCCTAGTGGGTAAAGGAACAACGGGGCACTGAAAACCACAAAGCCAGATACCAATGGGGCTCAACTGTGATTCGAATTTTGCGTTGGAAAAACAATCCGCAGAGGAACTGATGACAGGCTAACCAACCTCCAGATTGGCTTTGTCGTTCTGGAGCTTCTCGATCATATCCATATATTTCTGGTTCAAGCCTTCAACTACAGCTTGATGCTGCGCGGTTTCTTTCTCCAACACGGCTAACCGCCCTCGAAGATCAGTCTCGATTTGTCCATGTTGCTCGTGGGCCTCGTGCACCTGTTTGTTTTAAGAAAAATCAAAGAATAATATAATAATAATCCTTGCATTTGATATCAAGTCTTCGAGACGTCTCAAATCGCTTCACAGAATAGACTGTAAAGTGAATTGACTGTGGGCGAAACGCAGCAGACAACTGCACACAGCAGTGTCCCACAAACAGTCGTGATGAGTGACCAAATTATTCTTATTTAAACCAAAAATTTTTATGAAGGGACTTTGAAGCGATCCATCAATCAATCCAGGTTCCTACCTACTGCAAGGTGAACAGAGGCGTGTGGAGTAAGGAACCCTGCCTAAGGTTGCACCCTGCCCGGGAATCAAAGCCAGGTCCTCTCGCTTGAGAGGCTAGTGCTCTAACCAATACTCTACAGGACTCTACGATTGTGTAGAGTGCGGATGTCTAATAACGGGAAGGCTTATTGTTTGCCTGGGTCACAAGCCATCTGTGAGATTACAGTCCAGATGGGTAACAGTCGGTCCAGATCATTGGGTGGGCAGCAGGGAGAGAAAAAACATTTCCTTAGCCAAGATTCCAATGTTACAGGTAAATCCTGGAATTTATTCAGACCCAGAGGAGAACTGCGAAGCCTGTACAGACCGACAACACAGCCAACACAGAATTGCTAACCCCAGGATGCTCCCCCCCACCCAATGCGTATGGTCGCATGGCTTCAGATTTGAGACGTCTAGAAGATGTGAAAAGCGCTATATCAAATGCAAGGATTATTATAACAATATTCTTATTAAATTGGCTCCCAAGTCTAAACTGCCAGTTACTGGAGCTGTGGGAGGGTTGGAGTGGAGGGTGGGAGAAAGAGTAGGGGAGCAAGTGGAGGATCGGTAACATTTAATTCCCTCGCCAAAACGTACATCACCAGAGCAATCAAGGAAGGAAAGTGGCCTGACATAGTTAGAAGTCCGTGAAGTGGAAAATTCAAGGTTGTATTTTCTATTGGAAAATTCACAGTAAACCCCAGGGTATCTGGGATTCATCCCTAACTGGATCAGGCTTGAAATGGAAAAAATATTTAAAAAATAATTCTTCTGGCTAGCCAGGTTTTTATTGTAATATATAACATAATAATAATCCTTGCATTTGATATGGCGCTTCATCGCATCTTCGAGATGTCTCAAAGCACTTCACAGAATATACTATAAAGTGTAGTGACTGTATATTTTGTGGGCGAAACACGGCAGCCAATTGCGCGTAGCGGTGTCAGACAAACAATCGTGGATTGAATGACCAAATTATTATTATTATTTTTTGAAGGAATCATTACTCCCGGAAAAGTGATCCGCCAATCAACTAACAACCAGGTCCCTACTTACTGCTGCTAAACAGTGGCGTGTGGAGTAAGGAAACTTGCCCAACGTTTCAAACCCAGGTCTCTCGGTTGCGAGGTGAGTGCTCTAACCACTGAGCTACAGGACTCCACGAAGTGTACTTTCTGTTCAAAATATTCCCTCCAAGATGGTCCTTCAATATTCACAATATCTTATGTAAAAGCCAATTTGGAAATCACAGGCCAGACTCACCTGTTTGTGCAGTCGTTCGTTTTCCTCAATCTTGTTCTGTAGATCTTCATCAAACACACTCTGTCGCTGCTGCCTCAATTGTGATGGAGAGTCATTACTCTTCTGTGTAGGAAACAATTCAAGAGTTATAGGTAACAACACCTTGCATTTAAATCGAGGATCTTTAGCAGCAAGAGCACACTGTCCAGTGTGAAACAAAGCTACACAGATAGGAAGGCCCTTAGTTACAATGGCTCTCCCCTCTTCCCCGTGGTACACTGATACTCATGATATCAGCTCGCACATGAATAACTGCCCTGAGGCACAAGTGGGTTTGCGTTTGACGCCTCAGAAGAGAAGCACAATATAGGTTTGAATCATGCATCAGCACCAAGATGAAGCTTTAGCTCTGAATTGCCAGAAGGCAAGTCACATGAAACATTCTGTTATCAGACACAACCTCATGAATAAATGGTGTACTCAAAGTAAGCATTTTACGACACCTAGGGAAACACAGCCTTTTAATGTTTGTGGACAACATGTGACAATGCAGAGATCCTCACTGAGACTAACACAAGCAGTATACAATGAGGCAGTACAAGGAGAAAACTCTTATCTAAGGTGCGGTGCTGGGACAATATACTGTCGGAGATGCCATCCATTGGATCTCACATTAAACCGAGAATCTGTCAGCCGAGCCTGTTCAGGCAGATCACTTGACTTCTTCACATATTTTAAAAACTGCTTGTGCTGGGGGTTATATCTAACATACAGTTCTTGGAAGCCCTCTTTAAGGCAGAAAGGTTAACAACATTTGAATCAAATAGTCACTGGATTGAGGCTCGCGGTTCTCAGGAGCTCAGCAACACTGCAGCTCTCTCACCTTGTTTTTTTTGCCCTTGGTCTCGCTGTTCACCAGCTCCTCCTGAAGTAGTTCAACGCGCTTTGCCAGCTGCTGATTGCGGAATGTCAAACTGTCCATTTCCTGCTGCAACTTTCTAACACTTTGGTCCTTCATCTTCAATTCCTCCTGTCGACAATGCAAAGACTGGAGGGTTAAATCTCTCTTTATCACCTCAAGGCTGGACTATGGAAACTCTCTCCTCGCCGGCCTTCCCGGCCCTCCCTCCACAAGGTGCAGGTCATTCAGAACTCTGCAGCTCGTGTACTGTCCCACACCAGACTTCGGTACCACATCCCTCCCACCCTCGCTCACCTCCACTGGCTCCCCATCCCCCAGAGGATCGAATTCAAGATCCTCATCCTCACCTACAAGGCCATTCACGGCCTCGCTCCCTCCTACCTCTCCAACCTACTATCCCCCTACCTACCTGCCCGTACCCTCCGTTCCTCTGGCTCCGGTCTGCTCCACATCCCCCGCCCTAACCGCTCTACGATCGGTGGACGCGCCTTCAGCCTCTCAGCCCCGAGGCTCTGGAACTCCATCTCCCAGTGCCTTCGCCGCTTCCTCCCTTTCCTCCTTCAAGGCCGGTCTCAAGACCTTTCTCTTTGACCGAGCCTTCAGCTCCCCTCTCGACTCTCTACCCCCTCCTCGCTCCCTCCCTTCCCTCCCCTCACCCTGACCATTTCCCCCCTGCTCGGGTCCTGACCCAACTGTCCAGCACCTTGAGACGTCCTCCCGACGTGAAAGGCGCTCTATAAATGGAATCTTGTCGTTGTTTAATCCATACAGAATCCTGATGCTGTCATCACTGAAAAAGTAAATAGAAGGAACGCACCAACAACAACAAAAACAATACATTACATTTGTACAGCGTCTTTCATTTCAGGAGGACGTTCCAAGCAGCTGGACAGTCAGGGATTTGGACCCGAGTAGGGGGTTGGGATCAGGTAAGGTGGAGGGCAGGTGTTCACCAAGGTCCACTCATGGAGTCTGCAAGAAAGCTTGGTCTCTTGTTCAGTTCCCAGCTGTCCTTCAAACCCTACATCCAGGAACTGACTCACCCACTCAACTTTCCATTATTTTCACAACATTGCCCACCTCAGCCAATACCTCTATCCCATGACACTACCCTGCGTGAAGGGTGCCTCTCCAAAGGCAGGTTGTTGTTGTTCCAACCACGCCCTCCACTCAGCGGACACCAACATGCTTTGGGTCATGTTCAATGAGATTGTATTGCACTCAATTTCAACACATCATAGGATACCTTTAGCGATGTACCATTGGCCTGTTCATCCACAACAGCTTTCTTTAGTACTTGGTTCTGAGCCCGAAGCTGAAATATTCAGAAAACACTTTTACAATCCCAATACTCAGCTACTCAGCAAACAAAAATCATAGCAAACAAGGGTTCACCAAGGTTCAAGTCGCACTTTCGATACAGCAAGCTACACAATGTTCAAGCAGAATGTTGTAAGGATCTGTGGGCACGAAAATAGCGGCAATGCTCCCATGCATTTCATGATGAGCTGTGCTGTTCACCAGGAAGCTTGCGGGGAGTTTCTGATACCTGCTATCCACCTAGTGAGAGCTCACACTTGAGTTTGCCAGATATCAAATGACCGACTGGTAACTTATCTCCTTGGGCTAGGGGGGGTGCGGGGGGGGGGGGGAATAGAGAGAGGAGTACATGGAGCCTCCTTGGAGCTGAACTGGCTCCAAGGTGACATACTTAGCAATGGAATGTTAGTGATCTTGGTAGTCCTGTTCCTGAGCCCACAATACTCCAGGTCACTGCTGATGGCAGCCCAGTCAGCCTGGCTAGGGAGGGGGAGGGATTCTGTCCACTCAGCTCCCATTAACTGTGTAAGTCAAAGCCCTAAAGGGTAGGCTGATCCTAGTTGTCAAGCAGCAGAAAAGCTTGCCAGACAGTGCTTTCAATTGTAAGCTACACAGTGTTAGCTGGTACCCCAACAAACACACACTCTGGAAACCCCAAGACTCAGCTCTTATCCCCAACCGGCACCTGATGCTCTTCGGAATAGGTAAATAAGAGAGTACAGATTCCAAGTGAGTGGACCAGGATTCGGTTCACGGGCAAGGCAAGTTTCCTTACTCCACAAGTCTATGTTTACCTATCAGTAAGTAGGAACCCGGATGTGAGTCGATTGGCAGATCCCTTTCCCGGGGGTAATTATGCCTTCAAAAAAAATAATAATTTGGTCACTCAATCCACGGCTGTTTCTAGGACACTGCTGTGCACAATTGACTGCCCCGTTTCAACAAAATATACTGGCAATTCACTTTAGTGTATTTTGTGAAGCGCTTTGAGACATCTACAAGACATGATAAAGGCACTATATCGAATGCAAGGATTATTATTATTACTATTCCAAACACAGGAGTTTTTACGTATAGGTGGGATGCATGAAACTCTTAGTCTGGTTTGGATTCTCTTAATGACGAGTTTCTGCATGTGCCAGATCAAAAACTATCGATTCCCAAATGTGCAGCGCGTCCATTGCAGATGTTATGATTGCATTAAAAATATCCCGTTGTGCAAATGGCCCACTCCAAATATATTCCATTCTCATAACCGTTGCAGTTGAGGGATTTATCTGCTACGATAGTGTCAGTTCGTTAACCTTACATCTCAAAATAAACTTTCTCTTTTTTTTAAATAATATAATGAAGACAGCAAAACAAATGAGCACCGAATCCCAAGAGGCCACACCTTGGAGTATTCCTGAGCGAGTTTCTGATACTTGGCTTGCAAGTCCGCCGCCATGGCGAGCTGGAAGTCGGTGAGCAGCTTGCCGGGAGCGGATCTCTCATCACTCAGCGGGTCTGGATTCCCAGGAGACCTGCATCTCTCCGCCCTTCACAACACACAGACCGACAGCAACATCTTTAAAAAGGAAAGGGGGAGGGAAGGAATGAGGCAGGTCTTGAAACCGAAGAGCGAGCGATGAAGAGAAGAAGCGAGCACTGAGTCAACTCTTTCACTCACTCATTTTCTCTCTCTCTCTCTCTCTCTCACACACACACAGTCTCACACACACACACTCTCACACATATACACACACACACTCTCTCTCGCACACACTCACTCACTCTCTTTCTCACTCTCTCTCACTCTCTCTCTCACACACACATACACTCTCTCACTCGCACTCTCACACACACATACACACACATATACACACACTCTCTCTCTCTCTCACATGCACTATCCCTCTCTCTGGACAGGCCCTGCTTTTTCCCTCCAAAACTCTGCAGCTCGTGTACTCTCGCGCCCCAGGCTCCGCGTCCCCATCACCCCCACCCTCGCCCGACTCCGCTGGCTCCCCATCCCCCAGAGGATCGAGTTCAAGATCCTCGTCCTCTCTTTCAAGGCCATTCTTGTGGAGTCCTGTAGCTCAGTGGTTAGAGCACTCGCTTTGCAAGTGAGAGACCTGAGTTCAATTCCAGGCAGAGGGCGAAACCTCGGGCAAGTTTCCTTACTCCACACAGAGCCTAATAATAATCCCTCCAAAACCCAAAACAATAATAAATTGGTCATTTTCAATCTACGACTGTTTGTGGGACATTGCTGTGCGCAATTGGCTGCCGCGTTCGCCCACAAATATACAGTCAATTCACTTTACAGTGTGTTCTGTGAAGCGCTTTGGGACGTCCTCCCGACGTGAAAGGCGCTCTCTATTAAGAGTGTCATTGTGGTGGAGGCGGTGGTGGTGTTGTGGTGGTTGAGGCCATGTTATGTTTCTGCCAATGTATTCAGTCGGACTGAGTTATACCTCCGTCTCTCTCTCTCTCTCTATCTATATATATATATATGTTTAAAGATGTATATATTATATACTTATGGCTGTGACGAATGCTCAGCGGGACTCTGACGGCGGGTCAGGCGGACGGACGAGCCTCCCGGCGGCACAGCTCCATCGGCTCCTGCCGTCCCCGCGCCTCCTTTGGCGTCGATCACTTCCGGCTCCTGCGCTGCGCTGCGCGCGCGCGCGAGGTTGGGGGTGGGGGGGGGTCAAAGGCCGACGGGCGATCACGTGCCCCGCGCTCACTCTCCCCCCCGCTTCCCTCGTCTCTCGCCCGCCCCTCCCATCCCCCCTTTCCGGCCCCGCCCCCGCCCACTCGCCCGCCACCCGGCCCGTCGCCGTAGCAACCAGCGCGCGTCGCCACGGTAACGCGTCACCGGCCCGGGCAGCCTCGTTCCGGCTCTGGGGCTCGCTCTCACGCGCTCACGCTCCACCCCCCCCCAACACACACACACACCCTCCCCCCGCCGCCGCGTCGCCCTGGCAACCAGCGTCACCGGCTCTCCAGCTCCTCCCCGCGGGGCGGGGCGTGACGTGACGTGACGTGACCAGGCGGTGGGCGAGCGCACCACGTGACCCCGAGTCCTGTGGTGACCCGTTACCACGGCAACCGGTCACTCCAGGCCGCTGGGCCCCCGCGTTACACACACAACACACACAACACACACAAAAAAGTTAACTTGGAATACGTATTATGTTTCTGTTTCTATTTCTATTTTCTCTCTCTCACAATCGGCAAAGAAAAGGGGGAAGAAATGGTGCACTTGACGTGGGTGAGTCCGACTTTGCTCTCTGTATTTTTTTTTGGAGTGACTTCGTTGCTCCTCCAAATCACTCTCTCTCTCTCCCTCTCTGTGTGTGTGTGTGTGTGTGTGTCCTTCTGAAGTGACTGCGACGTGAGACCTGACTCGTCGTCTTAACTTTTATCACTTGTATTTATTTGTTTGTTTGTTTGCTTTGCTTGTGTGTGTGTGTGTGTGTGTGTGTGTTTGTTCTTATTGGTTCTCATTGCACCACCAGACAGCAGAATAAATCCTGACTTTCATCTCTTGGGACATTTTGGGGTTACTCCTGACACCCCCCCCCCCCCCCCCCCACACACACACACACACACCCCACCCACACTAAAAAGCAAGGATGGATGACAGTAAACTAGAAAAAAAAGGTAAGAGATCTATCTATCTATCTATCTATCTATCTATCTATCTATCTATCTATCTATCTATCTATCTATCTATCTATCTATCTATCTATCTATCTATCTATCTATCTATCTATCTATCTATCTATCTATCTATCTATCTATCTATCTATCTATCTATCTATCTATCTATCTATCTATCTATCTATCTATCTATCTATCTATCTATCTATCTATCTATCTATCTATCTATCTATCTATCTATCTATCTATCTATCTATCTATCATTCATTCATTGGTGTTGTGTTTATATTACAATTAAAAACAACACACTCTTAAGGTATGTTACGAGACAGAAACGTATATATTGGTTTTGAGATGATCTGCAGTTTGTGACAGTGATAATAATGATCCTCGCATTTGCTGTAGCCCCTCATCACACCTTCGAGACGCCTCGAAGCTCTTCGCAGAATGTACTGTAAAGTGAATCGACTGCATGTTTTGTGGGTGAAACGCTAATATCTCGTCCCACGTGTCTCATTTTGCTCTTTTGTAATGTATCCGTACTCTGTTCTCCCTCTTCCTTCCCCTCTTTTAAAGCCTGCTTTAAGATGGCCTCTTTAACAACAACTTGCACTTACATAGCGCCCTCCCCGCAGGGTAACGTCTCAGAGAGTTTAACAGTGACAGATCCTGACTCCGAGCCGGGGAGCGGGGAGGTGACTGTAAGAATGGTCGAACAGGACGGTTTTCAGGTGGGTCTTGGAAAAGGGTTGAGAGGGAACAAGATAGAAGGATTGAGGGAGATTGTTCCAGTGTTTAGGGACATATGGCTCAAAGCGCGACCTCCAATGGTGGGGTGGAGGGTGTGAGGGACAAGCAGGAGGTCGGTGCCCCGTCGAGTGGAGGCACCGGGAGGTGGATTGGGAAGTGAGGAGGTCAGAGAGGTCGGGAGGTGCCAAAGAGTGATGGGATTTGAACATGAGCGTGAGGACCTTCAAGTCGATCCGTTCGGCAATGGGGAGCCAATAGAGACTGGCCAGAGCTGGTGAGAGCTTCAGCGCCTTGGGACATCCTCCTGACGTGAAAGGCGCTTTATAAATGGAATCTTGTTGTTGTTGTTGAGATGTAGGTACGGAGCTTGGTCTGGGTAAGTATGTGGGTGGCAGAGTTCTGAATGAGCTGGATCTTGTGAATGGTGGAGCTGGGGACACCGGCGAGGAGTGTGTTTGAATAATCCAAGCGGGAGGTGACAAACTCATGCAATGGGGTTTCGGCTGCATTTGTCCACATTCAGCTGCAGGAAGTTTGCACTCATCCAGGCCCTGACGTCTGCCAGACAAGCTGATGGAACATCGGCGGACCTGGGGTTGGTACTGGAGGAGGCAAAGTAGATTTGTGTGGAAAGTTACACGTGGAAGGTTATGCATGTATGCAGATGACATCGCCCGGAGAGACCATATAGATAAGGAAAAGAAGAGGGCCAAGGACGGAGCCCTGGTGTGTCCTGCAGGTGACCGGGCGGGGGCAAGAGGAGAAACCATTTGCCAAGATGAAATAGAGGCAGTTAGTTGAGTAGGACTCGAACCATGCGAGTGCAGTCCGACTAAGGTGGATGAGGGAGGAGAGCCAGTGGAGGAGGATGGCGTGGTCAACTGTGTCAAACGTGGCAGAGAGATCCAGGAGGAGGAGGAGGAGGCAGAGGGAGTCCTGGTCACAGATGGAGAGGACATAGTTTGTGACTTTGACAAGCGCTGTCTCTGTGCTGTGGACAGGGCGAAAACCAGATCGCAGAAGCTAGAGCAGGGAGTGGAGGGAGAGGTGTGACCGAAGTTTAACCGGGAGAGGTTCAACCGCACGTTAGGTCATCTCTCCCCCTCCCTCCCCCAACCCGACTGCCCAGACAGTTGTGAAAAGTGCTTTGAGGCGTCCTTCTGACATGTAAGGTGCTATATAAATTTAAATTGTATTGTACAGGGTGACCAAAAAGTCATAATATCATTACAATGTCTAATAAAGTTTTAAAGAAATGATGATGAAATACAGTAAATTATTATTAAAACAAATGGTCTCATGACTTTTTGGTCAGTCTGTACATTCCCTTTTAAAAGAATATAGGACAGCAAAAGCAGTTTATCAAACTCTGATGGCTCATCAGTAAAGTGTGTGAAATTGGTGTGAAATTGACCTATAAAGTCCAAGAAGGCCCCTCTCTTCTGTGCTGATCTCAGGCAGGAACGACTGTACAGTTAGTCTCAGCCGCGCTGGACCGGGAGATGTGGGGGGGATCAACTGTTCCTGATTGTGGATGATGTCCGGTGACCCCCTGCTGGAAAGTGAATGCTTATGTATGTATGTACTTATGTATGTATGTACTTATGTATGTGTGTATGTATGTGTGTGTATGTATGTGTGTGTGTGTGTGTGTATGTACGTACGTATGTATCAGGATTAGGGTCTATGACCGCAGTACTTAAGAGAGCCAATTTAAATAGCTGGATTTGTCACGCTTGTCACGCGTGTCCTTACTGTGTTATATTGTGAAATGTCCATTTTAAAATGTAAATGTTCAGCTTTTTCATCACTTTCCAACTGCTAGTCTGAGCTTGCTGGAAGGAATGTAATTGATAGTGATGGGGATGATTATATAGCACATCACTCTATATAATGTAGCCTGGCTATTGACTCATCCTGTAATAGTGTTTTGGTTGAGGTTAATCGAAGGATATTTGACGGGGGTAACAATGCAAAGTTTCATAATGGATTTGATAATTATTCAATGTATTTTTGAATATTATGAACCATTGCATTTCCAACTCAATATATTGTAGCAGCTTCTTCTTTGGTTCGTTATAAGATAGTACTATATTTACAAACCTAATTTTTAAAAATATACATATAGCAAAAACTGGAACTAAAGTGTTATGTCGGCACGATACATAAATGCATAGCTTTGCACAGACTTGATGGCGGAGGGGAGAGAGAGCCCTCTTCTCTCTCTCCCCTCCGCCATCAAGTCTGAGAATGTGTATAACAATGTCGTAGTGTGGCTTTGACGCATACTAATGCTATGTGTGAGGCTCTAACTTTCAGACAAACCTGCTATCCCACATGAATACAACGTTAAGCCTACCGATGACATTGCGTGATAGTATAATTGCTTAAAAGTATAGCACGCAACACGTAGCATGGAAAGAAAAGATTGCAACATGAAAAGCAGTTTGATGCTTTTATGAGCTTTTGATGTGCAAGCAACAACGTAAGCTTGGATAAGATTTCAGGGAAGAGCTGAGCAACATCTGTACTTCCCAGGTAATGACTATCTTTTCAGAGTATGTGTTTGTTCACCAAGCAAATGTGCTGACAAGATTTCAAGCCCCGCCTGGGATATGGACAAAAAATGAATTTCAGGCTCCATTAAACGGAATTCACTGTGATTATAGACCCTAGAAAATTTCCCCAGGAGATCACATATACCTTTTTGATGGAATTGGGGGTAACGTTTCCAGATGTAGTTTCTTTTACTAGAATATTGTCCGTGTAGGTTCCCATCATCAGAACAACCCTGTTGGAAGGACTCCAGGCCAGGAGGTACTCAGAGCTCAACTCGAAACTGGAGCTCGACTGTATACAAAAAGTGAAAACTATGTGAGAATTTTTTCTGAATGGGAAGAAGAAATTATGAATTTACTTAAAAGTCTCCGTCAGCAGAAGCGCCTCTGTCAGAAGTTGGCAGCAGTGTATTTGAAAAGCCACCCTATTTAGAAATGTGTGTTTATGGTTAAATCGTTGTACATAAAATGGTGGTAGTGAGAGTATCCTCTTCCATTTTGGGCAGCACAACGTGCGTTAGTCCAAGTTCTTGTTCTCTGCATTAGTTCTGATGTTGCTATGTAACACTAGAGGGCACTCTCATGGCAATCATTGGATCTGGAGAACTGTAGCTCAGTGGTTAAGAGCACTCACCTTGCAAGCGAGACCTGGGTTCGATTCCCAGCGGGGGTGAAACGTTGGGCAAGTTTCCTTACTCCACACACACGCCTGTTTACCTAGCAGTAAGTAGGAACCCGGTTGTTAGTCGATGGCGGATCGCTTTCCGGGGGTAATAATTCCTTTAAAAGTATAATAAATCGGTCACTTCAATCCACGATTTTTTGTGGGACGCCGCTGTGCACAATTGGCTGCCGCGTTTTGCCCATAAAATATACAGTCGATTCACTTTACAGTATATTGTGAAGCGTTTTGAGGCGTCTCGAAGACGCGATAATGTGATATATCAAATGCAAGGATTATTATTATTACTGTACAGTAAGTACTCAGAGTAACACAAACTTTTATCATGTGCTGCCACTGAGTAACATTTTAAGGCGGTTTTCATAGAATCAAAGAAAGTATAGCACAGGAGGTTATATCAAACCTTTGCTAGTGCGCATTCCACTGGAGCAGACGATGCTAATCCCAATTGTCTGCTTTCCTGTCAACATGTTGCTTTCTTGTCAGCATGTTTTAAATTTCCTGCTTTTATGGAAGAGTGCATGATGAAAGAGTATACCAAATAATAATAACCCTCGCATTTGATAAAGCACCTTATCACGTATTGAAGACAACAAAGTGTTCGCAGGATTTACTGAAAGTATAATGACTTTTTTTCTGGCAAATGCAGCAGCCAGACTGTTGCACACAGGACTGTTGACCAGGACATTGGTGAAATTGCCTTCTCTTCACCTTCACACCAATCACAACCCAAAAAGAACAAGAGGCTGTAGATCAAAATAAAGACGGTGAATGCTGGAAATCTGAAATATAAACACAAAAATGTTGAAAATCCAGAACAGATCAATCAGTATCAGAAAGAGAATTAAGATTATAGTAGGAATCTTAATAATAAATTAAATAAGCAATAAAAATATTAAGTCACTCAATCCACGACTGCTTGTGGGACGCTGCTGTGCACGATTGGCTGCCGCATTTTGCCTACAAAACATACAGTCAATTCACTTTACAGTATATTCTGTGACGCGCTTTGAGACGTCTCAAAGACATAAGGCGCTATATCAAATTATTATTATCTTTCACAGTATAAAAGGTCATGGCTTACATCAGGTACTTCTATCTTTGACTTTGAAGCCTATGTGCAAACAGCAGCAGGGTCTGAGTTTCGAGGAGCTGTGAATGATTAATGCTAGAAGCTAGTCAAATGCAAGGATTATTATTATTATTACTTAAGTAATGATACATGAGTTAAGTGGAACATACATGCATCTTGCTGCCTCTGGAGCTGCCAGTGTAAAGGAAGTGTCCTCATGAAGGTGTCGCAAGATTAGTGGTGGAAGCTTAAAAACAGGGTTTTGACTAGCAGTAAACAGGAAGGGAATGGGAAGAATCCCAGCTCCCAGTTACTGGTCTACTCCTCCGTGTCTTGCTGACATGTCAGGCTGTCTGGTTCATTGTCAGCAGTGCCTTCAGTATTGTAAAATCCAGTAACCGGATTACTGAGACTACCACAGAGGATCCACTCAACTCTACAATTTACTCGCCAGAAATGTCACCTTGGACACCAGCCCTCCAACTGGCTGATAATGAACCAGCCAGCGTGATGCAGGGAATATATGACATGGGCATACCAAGGACACAGATGAAAGCAAGAGGGATTTCATTCTCCAACCAACTAACAAAAAGACATAACTGCACAAATTTAATTGTAGCCATCATTTTACAAACAAAAAAGTTTATTCAATAATTACCATATGTATGCAATTTGCATATCTTTGGTGAAAATAAACAATATAAAACTTTTTAATTAACAAAGGGTAGCATACAAGTTTCTGCAGGTGTAATTAAACAGTTTTAAAACATATAGGTTCAAACAACCTTTACAAGAATTGGGTTGGCATCAGAAGGTTTTGGTATAACTTGCATCACAAGCAGTCACACAGCACAAATTCAGTAACTTAGATAGTCATGTGTCCCCTTCGTTCCACTGCAATGTCGTTTGACAGCATTTCCAAGGATAGATTGAATATTTAAAACACTGCTACAAATTTGCCCCCCTGGGCAGGGGAAGGAGAAATCAACCATTCCTGATCTCCATCCAGTGCCCTATTGGAAATGTGCTTACATTGATATAAAAGGAAATGATTTGGCTCAACAAAGACGTTTCCCCCGTCCCTGTCTTATAACCTGTATAGTATTGTACCTGCATCTTTATACTGGGAAATCCCATCCATTAAGACGTAGGAAAAAGTTGCTATTTTTTAGTGATCAACATAGGTTAGACACACCAAGAATTTGCCACGTGTGAGGTGATGAAGGGCAGCCAACACCTGTGGACTCTACCCCAGCATATGAGAGAGGAAGGGAAAAACTAAATTTAAAACAATAAAAAAGCTATTTTGGCAATTAAAATTGAGCTCTCATTGAGTAATTTATATTTTGAGACGGGTCTTGATGGAGGCAAGGGAGGGGGTGATGCGGAGGGACTGCGGGACTGAGTTCTAGAGGGTGGGGGCAGAGTGGCTGAAGGCCCGCCCGCCAATGGTGGGGTGTGCGAGGCGGGGGACGTAATTTTCCAAAATTCTGCACAGTCTTAAATTTTACGACAAAATAGTCTTATAAGCCTAAGACTCGATGGAATTTTAGACCTCCATCTCTTTCACACAAGGTCCTAATTCTATCCCACAATTACCCGAGTCAGCGCCTTTGGACGCCCTCCTGATGTGAAAGGCGCTACACAAATGTAATTTGTCGTGGTTGTGGAGTAGCTGGCCCAAACTGTAAATACTCTGTATATAGACAGATGGGACACATAATAGAACCAAATATAAATTACTTGATGAAAACTCGGGCAGAATGCCATGGCTCATGCAAAAAAATAAAACGTACAACATTGTGAAAAGTTGTGACAATAAAATAAGCAAATCCCACTCAAGTTACCCGATTCAAAATATACCCTGATATTTTTCTTCCCCAACATCTCTTGATGGTATGTTCTCAGAGGATTTCTCTCCGAACATTCTCATTGGTGTCAATAGAGTTGTGGAAACACCACCACTTTTCCTCCGCTTCCTTATCCCCTTCATTAAAAGAAAGCTAAATCCTTAGCCTCAACATGAAGAATGACAAGGTACCAGAAAGCTGTTGGCGCACAAGGAACTCCACACCAGCTTGACAGCACCTCCAGAAAAAGTAAAGTGTCATAAAGATGTATGAAGTGTCATTGTTGCTAAAACAGCCACAGATTTAACGTAATGCCAATGCTACATATAAATTGCAATCAAAGGTGGAAATCGCAACTATCCATTCCCCCCTCCCCACCCATACACACACAACTTAAGTGCTCCGAAACTCTAACCCGCATGAAGGGCACTATGTAAATGCAAGTTGTTATTGAAATATGATATTGGGTTGCACAAAACACTTAAGTCTTATTCTTTCTCCCCTCCCTATTTGCATTACTGTATTGCTCTGATCAACAATAATAAATTACATTTGTATAGCGCCTTTCACAGCAGGAGGACGTCCCAAGGTACTGTGTAGCTTTATTTTCAAAATGTATTCAAAGAGAGCAACTCGTTTGCTTAAATATCCTTCCCAATGAGCTGATACAAAATGGTCAAATTAATGTCAATGGCCCTAGCAGCCACATGGGATGCAAGTCTTTGTGCCAATACAACACAATCACAGGTTTAGGGAACTTTTATCTTGTGAGCTGTTTAGATATCGATTCCCTTATCCCTCACTACACCTCTCATGAAGGATAATGAAGTTTTTAATTACTGTGCCAGTCAATTTCTTACCTTTCTTTCTCTTCAAATTTAGTGAACGTATGATAAGTAACAATAAGGTTTTTGTCGCAAAATATGCAGTCAATTCCTTCACAGTATATTCCGTGAAGCACTTTTGAGACATCTCGAAGACATGATAAGGCGCCATATCAAATGCAAGGATTATTATTATAATAAAGAAGTTATGTTACACTTGGGTGGATTTAGGTAAAATCTGTGGCTGTTTTAGCAACAAGAAACTCTGTAAACATAAGTTTTGAAAATGAGGAAATGGCAGAGTTTTTTTATTTAAAAAAAACCTTAATGAGACATCATTGCTGACCACCAGATGGCAAAGTAAAGGCAGGTAACCAGTATATCCCTGTTTCTGAGACCAGGAACCATTTTGTGTGCTGGTATGGTCAGCCATCTTGAAATCTGTTCATTCTATAGGTGAGTTTCATTTATATTTTAAAAAAACTGTTTTCTAAACTCTGCATCTTTGCTGTACATTTTTTTTAAAGTAATGATATAATTTAAAGAAAAAACTATAGGACAATAGGAAGTATTCTTCAGCGTTCAAGAAGCCCAGCTGATCTTCCCAGGTGTGTTGGAAGATTAGTTACGCTCATTTCAAGGATGGGAGATTCCTAGGTCAGGCTATTATTTGTGTGTATGGTCACAGCTATTTCCTATGTGTATTTAAGTACACTGCGATTTGCATTAAAAAGGAAGACGATTTTTGGCAAGTGCTCCTAGATGTATAGACGTATCACAACACAGAGGAGTTCAATGCCACAATTAACTTTTCAATTGACTGGACAGACCACCTCCTGTCACATCTTCTGAATGCAGAGAGGAGGAGGTGGTGCTGGAAGCTTAGGAAACGTGCCAATAAATCTCGGATCTTAAAAACACAAAGTTTGATGTGGAACCATTTGCTGAATGAAGAAACCATTTGCAGCAAAGAGGAACGGTGTGATGAGATGATGATGATGAGAATCTAGAGGGAATGTATTCCCCTGTTGAGTGTTTTAGCAAGATTCTGAGGAGGAAAAGGTGGATTGGTAAAAAAAAGGTAACTTAAAACGTTCTGGTGACAAAGAAGCTTTAAAAATACCCCAGTTGAATGCTATTGCTATTTGTGTATCACACCTCTAGACCCAAAGGGGGACTTTACATGCAATTGAATCATTTTGCTGTCAGAAAGAGTTTGTGCTGTTGAAAAAAGCAACATCTGGAATTGGTCCCAAAGGAGTGATGAACAAGCTCAGGAACTTTCAAACTATTGTGCTTTAAAATTGTCTGACACGCCACTGTATCATTCCCTATCTAAAGACCAGGAGGTGAACTATTCCTGGGTCACTTGCAATACCAGCAACTAGGTGCTGTGCAACAGGCCTAGTCTGGTTTGTCCTCAGTTTCTCTTCATTCATACGGATGGGGAAAAATCAACCTCACTCAGTCATGAAAACCTGTGAAGAGCCACATTCCACACGTATACGATGCTGATGAACCACTTCCCAGGATTCTATCTAAAAGCTGCATCAGACATGTCCTCGTTTGTAAAACACAGATGCACATTACCCCATTGTGGATTTTTTTTCCTTTACGTTGTAAAAACACTTGGTGATTGACTGAAATCTGGCAAAGAGATTACCGTCAGGAAATGACTGCATTAACTAGCAGCTCAAATCCATGATGCAACGTTTCCTACAATGGTACACACAGAAAATGAAAACTCTCCACCCACACTCTCCCTCGGTACACCGTGTACTTCAACACTGGACTAGTAAATGGTTTCATATCTGTACCATTATTTGGACACGAATCCCTCACTCTCTCCCCAATAGCAATACCAACAAAACTGCTCACATTTGACTGATCCCAAGTCAAAGGAGGTTTACCTTTTAATTCGGAATTACGAGAAACGATAATATGCATCTGGCACTGGCAATGAGCCCAGCCTCCCTCCCACCACTGCTGTTAGTACTTGCATATCCTGGAGCTAATCAAACATATTATTTGCCATATCCTCATGTATTTCCTCCAAAATAATATTCCTCTTCCACTGACCCTTAAAATGGAGTAGCATTTTGTTTTGTAGTGTTAGACCTACAATTTCTGAAAGTCCTGTACACCTGAGATCAAAGCTGGTTGTAATGATCAGGTTTTCCATGAAGATTTATTTACATTTTATGAGGGTTCTGTATGAGCGGGTTGAGACAAAAGCAATGCACATTACATCAGCAGTGACAGAATACCATACTGCTTATTGGTAAAGAGAACAGAAGGAGGAAGCACCCCAGTGCCAAGGACTCTTGTCAGCAAATGCAGGAAAATAAATGGTATCTAATCAGATTAGAAAATGCACCAGCTCGACCCAAACCAAAACAGAGTTGGAATTGGTTAATGCTGGTGGACAGGGCTTTGGAAAGGTTTCAGAATTGATGAATGTTTTGTACTATTAAACCATTCCCTGAGATTTGATTGGGCTAGAGGTGAGGGATTGCACTTGTGGCAGCAATGCTCTGTACCATAGAGTAGCAGGAGATGGATTTGCATGAGCAATATGGCAAGATTACTGTTTCAATCAAACCCATGTGGTGAAAATGCTGAACTGGATGAGGGAGGGGGAGTAGCAGGAAGGGTACACAGAAAGACAACTCAAATGGTTCTACCTTGATTTGGGTGCAGGACAGATCATGTTACTGTTCCCTTCTCAGTGAAGTGTCTGGTGCAGAGAAACAAGAGTAAAAAAACTTCCACAGAATGGCATACAATGAAAAACACAAGAACAGTATATTAAGCGATCCGATAGTGAGTCGCAAAGCAAAGTAGGGTGTCATTGACCACCGACTCATTTATAAAACACCCCCAAGCTCCCGCCCCCTGAATTGGATCACAGTCTTGCACCTCACCACACCTGCTATTTTGCTTTTCGTGTATACATGTGTTACGGAGTTTAACTTTGTACATGTAAACGCAGCTACCACCCTCGGCAGGCTGACCCCATTCTATGTGCTCCGAGCTGTTGGCAGAGGTACACTGAACCCCCAGAAAATTACTCCACTACCAGGCGAGTCCCCAGATGAGGATGGCAGAGTTATTCACTATGCATTTTATGTAAATTTGAGGTGGCTTCTTTTTTGAAAAGTTTCGTATTTAAAAGCAGCCATTTTTTTAAATTCCTCCCTCCCAACGAATAATGTCTATCGTACTGTTCTCTAGAAACCACAAAAATGCACCAAAACATTTTTTTTAAAAAAATTATAACCCAACTGCATAGCAATTTTAAAATTTTACTTAAATGTTAAGTGCAGCCCTGTCACTGGTTATTAAAACATGGACAATTTTGAATTTTCTTAAAACTTTATTTCAAATTGGCAGGGATGTACTGTAACTGTTCTCTTGGAACCAAGGACTTGAGTGGGAAAGAGTTTGCTTATGTGGTAGAGAGTTTTAAGGTTTTAAATATTGTCACCAACCTGCTGGATTTGAGACGTACACTGTTATCTCAAAATGCTGGAAATATTGCAAAGCCCCACACCCCTTCTTGCTCTGAATAGTGAGGTTTAACCCCCCCCCTCCCCCCATTTTTAATATATATTAAAAAGAAAACACTTTTGTGCCTCTCCAACCACTACTTGAAAATTTAACCAATAAAACAAGGTCTGAACACCTACTTTTGACATGCATGGCAGTTACATTGCATGTGATGGTTCCCATAAAGTCCACTTTAAGAACATGTGCCACCCACGAGGAAATTCTCGTTTGCAGAAAGATGCAGCACATGGCAGTTTATGTAGCCGGGCAAAAACAGCCTCAGTCATAGTATGGCTTTTGTCTTCCTCTGAGAAGATTTCCGATGAAGAAATATTGCCACATTTTGCACACAATGGCAGGGGGAAGGGAATTGGGGAATGGAGAGAAGTGGGTGGCTATTTCACTCCACGTTTTTCACTCCGGCTCTTTCCCGGTTTACCGACCAAAGAATCCAGGCACATATGGATCCCGGCGAGGTGGAGGAGCGACCCGGCTGCCTCCTTCAGCTCGTCGTCAACCTCGTGCTGTGCCGCTTTACAGCTTTTCCCGGGCAAGTGCAGTGTCCCAGAGCCACTGCTGGCCCGACGCTGGGCTTTGTAAACTCTGGGCCCCAGCGGGTCACTTGATTCGTCCTCGCAGTCTTCAACTCCAGACTCATCGCTGTGGAAGCCATCGCTGCCATCGCTGCCCCCGCGGCTGGCTTTCGGGACACACGCGTAGACCTCCTCAACAGAGGAGAAGGACGAAATACTGGACCTGGACTCGCTGCGCTGGGAGGTGGCGCCAGCCCCGTTTGCGCTGTAATTGTGATCTTCTTTCGGATCGCCACTAACGTCCGATAACCCAGATAGGCGTTGGCCGGTCTGATGCGATGGAGGCGTGACCAGGCCCTCCCTGAAACAAAAGAAATAAAAATGAAGACAAATGAAGGTTGAGATCATTTGATTTTACCTAGTTGACTAAACGTTACACCTTCTGCTACAGTGAAGAGACTAAATTTGAACATAAAGCTGCAGGGAGACTTTCAGTCAATTATTCTAAAGCTCAGGTGGCCCAGTGGACACCAGGACATGGAGGTTGCAGGTTCAAATCCCAGCCTGCATTCAGTTAATTGAAAGCCAGAGTCAGCTACTATTTAGCTGTGTTCCTGATCGCTAGCAGTTCCGCTGTTGGAACGTGCACAAATGAGGATTTGAACTTGTGACTTCCCTGGGCTCACATGGCTCAGTTTCACACTGGTGAGTTGGTCGTTAATGGTGCCGGGTAGATTGACCTGGATTGTTGAGGTCCTCATGGTGCAAAAGTACATTAACAATCATTGTTTTCTTACTGGTCACTTGAACGAGGTACCCAGTTGAAAGAAAGGGTCAAGCACTCTCAGGAGTGGCGAAGGTGAAAAAATATATAACATATATATATAATATATATATACACATATATAATCTCAGTCATTTCAGAGCTAGGATATGCTGCTCCCCCCCCCACAAATTTATGAAAATTATGTGTAATTTTAGCTACTGTTCAGAATGTTGTCTTGTTTAATACCCATTAGGATGTCTGAGGGTAGCCCGGTTACCTTGTCCTGTGTATGGTTTCGTTTGTTTTCACTGCACTCGGCGCAAGCTTGGAAAGTGCACGTTTGTGAGTCCGCTTTCGGCTTGGCATTGGGCTGTGTTCCTTAGACTGGCCACCTGCAAAAGTAAATAAGTAGAACAGGACATGGTTTAGGCAGGTTTACCACACGTGAAAACAGGAACATGAGAACAGGGGGAAAAAAAATTGGACTTTAAATGCTCCATATTGGGACTTCCAATGGGGGATGTTATTTAACTTTCGTTCTTTTTCAACATGGTTGACTCCATGTTTACCCATTGAGGCCCAGCAAAGAAAGAACATATATTTTGTGGCATCTTATGTTGAGACGTGACAAGGCACTTTATGGAAAATACCGTCAGTTAATAATGACTGTATTTGCAGGTGAACGAAGCAGGCATTTTGCACACAAGGTCCCACAAACAGCCACAAAGTGATCAGTTTATTCGTAGGATTGTTGGACAGGATACAAGAAGAAGCTGCATTCTTTTTTCAAGTAGTGTAATGAGAATTTTAGCAACCGCCTGAAGAACAGGCAAGCAGAACATTGGTCTTAATATCTCATTCAAAGGACAAGATCTCCAACAATACAGTTCTCTTGCCACAATTGCACTGGAGTGTGCCATAACCTGAGGTTTGAACCCAGAACCTTCTGACCCAGAGGAGAGAATGCTGTCAGCTGAACCACGCAGGGCAAAACATTGGGCAATGGGCTCTGTAAATGGCTCTGATATAATGCCTTATATCGACCTGCCAATCGACTAACAACTGGGTTCGTACTTACTCCTAGCAGGGATTATTATTATATGGGTACCTAAAGCTGCATTTAAACTGCTTCAAGTACAATGCACTGGGAACCAATATCAATTCACCAAGATAAAATACTAGAATGGGATGTTACTTGCTTAGAATCTCTGGTGCATGCACTCCCGATGCTCTCCTGGGTAAAGATACTGTGTAATGTAGCACAAGCCACACAGGTTATGGGTTTGAATCAAATTTTGCATGTCCTGAATTAGCGAATGTTCAACCAAGGCAATATCTGGGCCTGAGTGCCAACATATTTTCAGGTAAATGGGTTCATCTCCAACAGAGACCAGAGAACTGAAAGTTCATTAGCACCCGCTACTGGACAGGACAGGCATGATGGCAAAGGTGGGCAGTCTTACATTGTGCAAGTCTCTGTTCCGGAGATGAGTTCAGTAACATCATAGCAGTGGCTGCGTCGATATCCGAACCTGACAAGAGAAACATGAAAATTCATTATCAGAAAGCCTGGAGCTGAGCTCGGAGTATAGATCAATCTGAATATGAAGCTAGCTGGCAAGGGAACAGGAGAAAAACAGCAATCATGTCTCTTCACTAGCATAAGCCAGTAACATAATAGTCATCTTGCGTTCCCCTGGGAGAGCAGCAATATAAATTATGAATAAACCACTATAGTTGCCCAGATTTAGTCAGCTACTAAGGGCCAATTACATGGCAAGGTTTTGGTAGCCATAGCTACAGACATGGGCATGGAAAGGGATATCTGCACACTCCAGCGTTACTCAGTACACTGTGGACATCCTTTCTCCCTCCACCCCATCTGCAGTTTGGGAGAAAGAGAAATGTAGCAGCATTTTACAGAAATCCCAGCCGGGAACCTCCACTATTGTGTGGGCCATAAAGTGCCACGTAGACAGTTGTTTTATTAAAAATAGTACACACACATGATCTGGGTTTATTCCATGTACAATGCTCCTAGACAGTGGAAGAGTCCAGTGATTCTCCTCTAGGTGCAAATAAATATTAATTAATAATCCTCACATTTGGTATAGCACTTTTCACATCAGGAGGGTATCCCAGAGCCCTTCACAGCGAGAGCACCAAAATAAATTATAAATTACATAAATTATAAATAATTACAAAATAACAAACTACTATGGTTGGTCAGATTTAGTCATTTACTGTAAAAAGGAGTGATTGTGTATAATGTGGGTGAGCAAAGTATTTTATATTTCCATGAAATATAGAAACATAGAAACGTATTGCGCAGAAGAGGATAGAGCTGCATAAAAAACATCGAGATGGCACCAAACTACTGTGTACATTGTTCAGGCTACTCCACTATTTTGAACCATTAGTGGATTTTACTCCACAAGGTCCACTACCCAATATGACTAGTTTTTAAATCGTTTTTCCTGGCTTGTCCCCATTTCTTCTTCTCTTTACTGAAACAGACATGAGTCTGAGGCTGGGTCTACGTTTGTACTATGTTAGATGGGTTATTGGCTCTGCAAAGTGGCATCTCTTGAGCATGAAGAATATAAGTGTGTACAATACAAATTTATATATTTATGTTTTTAGCTTGTGGCTTTCGCAGTTTATATTCTTGTCCTCTACTTCTCTTGCCCTGGTTTTGCAAAAGATATGTGCGATTCCCTTCGTGGTTTAAAAAAAAACTTAAGAAGCTAACTTCCAAATTAAGAATTTTTCAAAATTCTGTCTGATTTTAGTTCAGTGATTTTAATAATAATCCTTGCATTTGATACGGCGCCTCATCACGTCATTGAGACGTCTCAAAGCGCTTCACAAAATATACTGTAAAGTGTAGTGACTGTATATTTTGTGGGCGAAATTAAGGTTAAATCCAGGTGATATTCCTGAATGGCAAAACAGTACTTGTATCCTTTTGTCAAATAGAAGATAGGTTGAAGATTGATTGGGGCCCTCAATCCAGGTTTGTCCGGTCACTGAAGACCTGGATAGGGGAGGGAGGGTGCAGAGAAATACGGTTTGTTTTCAGGATCTGAAGTTCAACCCCAAAAGCACAACATTCTGGAACTTATTACTTCTGGCTATTGAGGCAGGATCATTGAAAAGTGAACTGGATAAGCATTTTAGTAAAACCATTAAAGGATATGGGTAGAGCAGGAAAATGTGATTAGTTAATGGGCGGGGGGGGGGGGGGGTTAGAGGGGCTGCGAGATTCAGCAAAACGGGTAGGAGCGGTGCAGACACAATGGGCTAAATGACCTCCTTCTGTGCAGAAAATTACTGTCTCTATGATTCGCTTTGTACTCTGCTGCTGGCGTTTCATGTTAAGGCCTTTTTGGTATTGTCAGTTCTGTTCAATGCCAGTTACACGCGAGTCCTCCACAATGTGTCCAAAATGGGCTTTAAGATTGCACTGAATGTACCAGGCAGTGGCAATAGTAATTATCATTATTGTGAATGTAAAATCTTTGCGTTTAATATAGAACCTCATCAGTCAAAACGTTTCAGAACTTCACAGGATTTTAACCACGAAATGTAGTTACTGTGCAGTTGTATGCAAATGTGGCAGCCAATTTGTACACAGCAATGTGCCACAAAGAGCCATGAAGTGATTGACCAATTTTATGTGGAGGATTGTTGGTCAAGATTTCCTTCTCTCTTTGAATAGTCCCTTGAGTTTGTTTATCAACACCTGAACGGGCAACCAGGACCTCGATTTAATGCGTCATCTGACAGGCGGCACCTTTGCTCTTTCAGCACCGCATTGGAACTCAAAAGTTCTGACTTTGGGCTCGAAAGCACACGTTCTGACTCAACAACATTTAGATTTATATAGCGCTCACCTTTCTGAAGGCAGCTTCGATGCTGAGGGGACATCGATGTGAAGTGATGAGGAGGTGGTGACGCACTGAAAGAAAATTCAAAGTTACCATTAAAAGACTGGTCACTGGGAGGCAAATTCTGTACTACCTACCCCCTTTCCTCTGGAAGCACCGTGTTAAGATCACGTAAATGCACAATTAGTAAAGGGAGTCAGCCCTTCCCTGTTCTGGGCTGAAGCAAAAAGAAGGAAAGGATTTCTGACCATGGGAGGGGAAAAATCACCCAGGAATCCATTCAATCTTGCAAGCAAATGCAAGGATGAGCACATTATAGAAATGACAGCAGGAAGCCATTCGAATGGAAGTCAATCAGCAACTATGAACCACGCCCCAGGAAAGAGTCAGCTCCTTGAGCAAAGGTGAAGAGGAACAGAATGGCTCAATCATCCGCTTCACATGCAAACACGTCATCTAAATGGGCCCACCTTTGCGGAGTGTTAACCTCTGGGGAATATTAAATTGCTTTCTGAAGATTCCATTAGCTTACATGTCCAGACAGGAAATCATGCAAAAAAAANCATCAAATGTAATCTCTGGATACTCAAAATTCCTTAGTCCTAACTAGTCCTGTTTCCCCTCCTATGTTGAGGTCAGATTTTGTTCCTTCCGTTCCTTAGGAACTGGACTACTGGGACCGATGTAGAGGGTTGACTTGATTCCAGCATTCCACAGTACTTTGCAACAGAATTTCAGAATCGGGTCAACCCTCTGTGGTGATCTCTGTAGTCCAGTTCCTGAGTCATACTATTCCAAGACACTGCGGATCTGTATCACTGCTGATGCAGACCAGCCAGCCCACTTGGTTTGTCAGCAGACCTCAGAGAGGCAGTCCAGCACTGGAGGCAAAAATTCTTCCCACTCAGTTCCTGGAAACCCTTCAAGCCAAAACCCAAAATGGGGCGGGTGCTCCAATCTGGACAACCAGCAGAAATCTTGTCATACAGTGATCTCAACATGAGCTATGTGGTTTTAGCTGGTTACACTCCGATAGTACCTCAATTCACACTCTGGACTGTCCAAGCCTGGGCTTTCACCAGCCTGCGCCTAATATTCTGGGCAAGTAGTTAAAGCAAGGTGGATTCCCTTGAGGAAGAGAGTACACATTCAATTCCAGACAGACGGAAAATGTCATTGTATAGTACATATGGAACTTATGGATGGCATAGCGCACATATATTATATATGGAACTCAGTCTGATTTAGATATTCTTAAGCATGGTGAAGGGATTTCCTCATGTGTCAAGACACCTGGCTGACCAAGACCACCTTTAAAATATATTTCTAAAAAGATTTCTTGAGCAATAAAACTACTGCTTAATGTGAACCTGAGAAACACAGACTGAGGGGGTTTTTGTTCTGTGTTGAGTTAGCCAATCTCGACTTTGTGCAGCAGTTTGCACAACAATTGCCTCAGTACCTTTGGAGATAGACAAATGAGCCAGAGCTCCTATTCCTGATCTGTATCCACATCTACTGGAAGGTGTGGGTGTGGACATCAAATGAGGATGATTCAGATGTCTAGTGGTAGTAAACCCTGTCCAGACGAGCACATAGCCAGTCCAGACGAGCCACTTTCGCTACTGGATCATCTTCATTGTGGGGGGGGGGGGGGGGGGGTAGAGGGGTTTGGATGTAATGTGGCTTCTTTTGATTCAGTTCAGAATTCAACATAGAAACCCCATCACATAAGGATTATCTATATAATACCTTCAGCAGTGATAGATGTGGAGTCCTGTAGTTCAGTGGTTAGAGCACTCGCTTTGCAAGCGAGAGATCTGGGTTCAATTCCAGGCAGAGGGCGAAACCTTGGGCAAGTTTCCTTACTCCACACAGAGCCTAATAATAATCCCTCCATTTTCAACCCACAACTGTTTGTGGGGACGCTGCTGCGCGCAATGGGCTGCCGCGTTTCGCCCACAAATATACAGTCAATTCACTTTACAGCCTATTCTGCGAAGTGCTTTGAGATGTCTAAAAGACTTGAAAAGCGCTATATCAAATGAAAGGATTATATTATTATTATTCGGGGATAGCAGAGAAAAGCTGAGCAAAAAAAATCAAACCATGACTCTTGAGAAAAGAGGGTGTGAACGATTCACTGTCTGTGCCACTTCATTTACTTATCTCGTCGGTGTGCAGTGACCTTTCAAACACACACCCACATTCCTCACACTAAGCACAGCACACCTAGGTGACTGACTGAACATCCTGCGGCTCCGATTGCGGACTCTCCTGCCCGCTCCCCTACTTGCCAGAAAACAAAATCCCAATCGTAATGAAGAGCTGTAGTCAGTGGCATCTCACCCGGTCGTTTGTACCTACAAGAGGTGCTAACGCTAGACACGTGTGGTGGTGTTTAATATGTGCATTAGTTGCCAAGCAACAAAATATGTTTTATGATGGCATTGTATGCATTTTATATAGATATATTTTGCAATGCGTTCCCATAGTAACATCACCACTGGCTCATTTACCATCATTCCTGTCTGCTGACAGATCAGAGTCAGTCACCGCCTATGAACCTCTTTTAAAGACATTTACACACAACAAATACAGAAAGATGTTTCCCATATCCTCCTTCCCCCCCCCCCCCCGCAACACACACACACACACACACAAACAAATAGCTTAGTCAATTTATTTGGTGAGTACCTAAACCGTACAGGTAGGTTTTAAGGAGTTATTTATATAATAATACCATATTAATCCTTGCATTTGATATAGCGCCTTATCACTTCGTTGAGATGTCTCAAAGTGCTTCATGAAATATAATGTAAAATGGTTTGACTGTGTATTTTGTGGGCAAAAATGGCATGCACCAACGTCTCACAAACAGCCATGAAGTGAATGAAATTTGTTTTATTTTGGGGGATTGTTAGCCAGGACACTGAGAAACTCCTTTCTCTTTTCAAATAGTGCCATGGGATCTGTAAGATCCACCTGGAGCGGCAGATGGTTTAAAGTCTCCTCTGAAGGACGGCACCTCCATCAATGCAGCACACCCTCAGAAGTGGAGTATCAACATAGACGATATGGGTTCAAAGTCCTCAACTGAGGGTTCGACCCAACACCTTCTGACTCCGAGGTGAGAGTGATACCAAATGAGCCAGGATGGCAGACTTCAAGATAGAGAGGGGGCGAAACGGAGGGGTAGAGGGAGGAAGTTTCACAGGTTAAGAGGTGTAGCATCTGAAAGCTTAGCCACCAATGGTGGCCTGCAGAGGCCAGGGGAACCCGCAGGAAGCCTGAGTCAGTGGAGTCTGGTGATGACTGGGCTGACAGGCACATAGGGCGGGTGAGGATGCAGTCGGCGGAGTTTTTGATAAAATTGGAGATTATGGATGCTGGAGCTAGGGAGACCAGAGAGGAATGAATACATTTGAAAAGTCCAGGTGAGAGGTGATAATGAAGGCATTCCAACTGAGCCCAGCTACATACAGTACTATTTTTTTTACAGTAATTTCTTTTGAATCGCTGATGTTTCAGTAAAAACACTTAACTCATTTAGGAAGAGAACTGGAAAATAGAATTAATAATAACACATTTAGATCCTCTCAGAGAAAGAGTGCCTTCAATCTTCGGTCACCTTCCTTTCCCTCCACCCTCCCCGATCCCGACCCCCTATCTCGGGTCCAATACACTGATTGTCCATCGCCTTGGGGCGTCCTCCCGAAGTGAAAGGCGCTATAGAAATGTAATTTTGTTGTTCGTTGTTGTTGAACGTCTTAATTCAATGTTTTTTGTGCAACGTATAGCCACACGCTAATGCTGACACCTACTGCTAAATTATTTAATAATAATCCTTACATTTGGTATAACATCTTTCACATTGAGTGGATGTTTCAAAGTGCTTCAAAGGACATACTGTAAAGTGGAGCGAGTACTGCGTGTATTGTGGGCAAAGCCTGAGAATAATTTAAAAGTAAAACATCACAGAGATCTTATTCAAAGCAACCCCTTCACTCTCCCTGCTTAAACAACATTAGTTTAATAGGTTAAAATGCTCAAGGTTACATTGCAAAGGAGAGGTAGTGCTGTAGAGCTGGTTAGACCACATGTTCTCTTGAACAAAGACTGGAAGAGCCTAAGGGGAGAGGATGTGCTTACCTTGGAGGTGAGGCTGGTGGTGTATAGAAGGGCTGCAGTGTAGAATAATACGGTGTCTTCATCAGGGCCTGGATAAGGTTTGGCCTGTATTGTGGGTCGACACACCACAGCGAACCCTTCCCAACGGTCTGCACAGAATTACACAGATAACTCACATTAGGATACACATTGAATGCTCACAAAGAACTGGTCACTTAATCCCTCCCCTTTTTTCCTCGCATTTCATTTTTCTCTATTAGATATTTGCGCAATTCCCTTTTAGAGGATTTATGGATTCTGTTTTAACCACCATTTTTGGTAGAGCAATCCATGTACTACTACTAATAATCTTTGCATTGGATATAGCGCCTTATCACATCTTCGAGACATCTCAAAGCGCTTCTCAGAATATATCTCAAGTGTAAAAAAAACTTCTATATTTTGCGGCTTTAATATTGGGAAAAAGCAGAAGAATTTTTCTGCTGTACCTGGGGCTGATTCTTTATTTTAAGGACTCAATAATAATCCTTGCATTTGAAATAGCACCTTTCAACAACAACAAATTACATTTGTAAAGCGCCTTTCACGTCGGGAGGACGTCCCAAGTTGCTTCATGTCAAGAAGATATCTCGATACACTTCAAAGGATTTACTGTAAAGTATAGCGACTGTATTTGTAGGCAAATGCGGCAGCCAATTTGCATGCAGCCATGTACCACAAACTGCCATGAAGCAAATGAACAATTTTATGTAGGCTTTGTCGGCCAGATCATCGGGAGAAACTCCCTTCTCTTTTTTAAAGAGAACATGTTTCTCGACAAGCAAAACAGTTTACAATAAAAAGAAAGTGCTAAATCGGACGTTCGGAGTCTTTACACAAACTCTCCCCTCAATCCACGACTATTTATGGGACGCCGCTGTGCACAACTGGCTGCCACGTTTCGCCCACAAAATATACATTCAATTCACTTTACAGTATATTCTGTGAAGTGCTTTGAGAAGTCTCGCAGACATGATAAGGCGCTATATCAAATGCAAGGATTATTACTATTATAGTAGTACACAAAATGTGGGTTCTGGCAGTAACACCCAATACAAGGTTCAAGCCCTTTTAACCTGAGGTGCAACTTCGAAGAATTTCACATTTCCAACATGAGATTGTGAAATGTTTTCACATGAATCATGACCACTTAGGAGGGTTCTTGTGGAGCTCTATCCCGAGGAAAGGGGGGGGTTGCGAGAAAGTGATTCCAACATCTTCTAACAGAACCCATTTAGATTTCTTTGCACTCGTCGTATTTTATAAATCGGATAAAGGACTAAAAATTGTAACAGTTTCTTGGCCGGAATAATCCTAATTCTTATGCAAGTCATCTCCTAACTCATGACACCGCTTCTGTACTTTCAGTAAGTCGTACTGAATGTGATGCGAGTTTTACTGTACTGCCTGTACACACAATAACAACAACAACTTGCATTTATTTAGCGCCTTCCACGCCGGGAGGCGTATCAGAGCGCTCGAACTAGACTACGCACCAGACTATCAAGGGAGCTTCGGAGAATGGTTTTTGATTAAAACCTAGAAGCGTTTCGTATTAAGCAGCATATTAATTTCTGCTCTGCACGTGAAAGTCGATGACTCATAACAATACTCTGCGACTTCAGGACTCGGCCAGTATTGTGCGAGTAGTGATAATCACAGTGATAGATCGCAGCTACATTTGCAGACGACACCAAGCTAATCAAGGTGGTAGCTTGCAAAGCTGAACAAGATAGGCCGACAGGAGGATTTGAACATACTTGGGAATTGGGCAGATGTTCTTACGTTCAAACTATAGACGGCAAAGATCCCTTTACAGCGAGCAGTGCTTCCCTGTAAACCACTATTTCAATCACTTACTTTTAAAATAGAAATTTTCTTTGCTGTCCAATGAGAAAACATAAGAGAATACAACGAGGAGGCAGAATTAGTCCAGTAGAGCTAGTGAAAGCAGCCAATTTTTTTTTGTGTGTGTGGGGGTGGGGGGTCGCGGAAGGGGTAAATTTGGACGAGGAATGGAATCTAAGCCAACGTAACTGGGAGAAAAACTCCACCGTTTTCAGGGCTGAAATGAGACATCATTCTGGATCGTGATGTAGCACTATGTGCTGACTTCCTGCCACAGGTACATAGAGAATGTGTTTTGTTCAAGCTCTGACAGATGTCCCTTCTGCCCCCTCCCCCACCTCTCACGCCATCTGAGTGAAAAGCAGAACTGCAATGTCAGCTCTCACGTCAGCAGGCTGTTGGGTTCTGTGGTTTGATCCACTGATGTTTGGCTGAGTGCTTAATCTTGCTGTCTGTCTTGAGGAGGTGCTTTCATTTTGAACTCTGATATAGTAATGACAACATTTGTGCTTCTCTATTATAATAATTATCAATAATAATCCTTGCATTTGATATAGCGCCTTATAACATCGCTATTAAATTGGCTGCTGCCTTTCGCCCACACATATACAGTCAATGCACTTTATAGTCTATTCTGTGAAGCGCTTTGAGACGTCTAGAAGACGTGTAATACGTAAACCAAATGCAAGGATTATTATTATTATTATCCTTCCCTATGTAAATATAGCCAATCTGTTAGGATATGTTCACAAGGTCAGGACCTCACAGGGTCAAGTTTGAACGAGCCGATTTGATTCCACCATTTCCAGTACCATCCATTACAACATCAAACTGTTTTCGAATTGCGTTCTGCATTCTGGCCTCTACTTTGGTTTGGTTTCTTCTTGAAATAAATATTTCCTGATAATATAATAATAATCCTTGCATTTGACATATCAAAGCGGACGAAATGCAGCAGCCAATTGCACACAGCAGTGTCCCACAAACAGTTGTGAATTGAGTGACCAAATTATTATTATTATTTTTTGTTGTCTGTCTTGAAATTGGTCATCCAACCCTGAACCTTTCTCCTCGTCTTGCTGTACCCGAAAGAATTGTTCTGGGTTTCCTTCCCCAATTTAGTATTTATATACTTCCAGATCCCATTTTTTTTCCAAGGCTGAAGACCTGCCCATTTTGGAGAGTGAATAATAATAATAATCCTTGCATTTGATATAGCGCTTTTCACGTCGGGAGGACGTCCCAAAGCGCTTCACAGAATATACTGTAAAGTGAATTGACTGTATTTTTGTGGGCGAACGCGGCAGCCAATTGCGCACAGCAATGTCCCACAAACAGTCGTAGATTGAAAACGACCAATTTATTATTGTTTTTTTTAAATAGAACTGAATAACTGGTTCAGTTCTATTTAAGCCAATGACAGTGTGCACACATTGCACCCCCTCCCCACTGAATCCAGTAGAGACACTGCTATGTTCCTCATAAACTCCCACCAGCCTGCACGCAACGTACAGGAAGACCTACTATCCATTTAGTTTCAGTCTCTTTCTGCTGGGGGGAGTGGGGTATGGGGGCAGTGGGAGATTTGGAGCAGTGAATAGAGATTATTTTTTGAATCTCTGATCAAGAATATTCTTTCGCAATAACCCAAATTACAGGGACGATTTTGCAATATTTCTTAATGAAGAAATCCAAGACACAGACTTGCACGAACATTCTTCCTATTTTCTATTACCTATTCTCAGTCACTAGGAGTAGTCCACATTTCTTAATTAAGAAATCTACTAAAAAACACACCAGTTGTTCGGAGCTTCTAGTTTCACCGCACAGGCCCTCAATGTAGGGAAAGCCATGCATCTCGATTTACTCTGAGAAAGAAAAATCCTCTCACATAAGCATTAGGGGCCGATCGGAGAGCTCCAACCGGGGATTTAAATGTACCAAATCGATTGGATAAACTTTTGAAATAAAAGAATATCAGTGTTCACAAAGAGGGCAAGGAGAGAAATCAATTGAGATTACGGTAGTTCTCTCCAATGCTGTGAACTACCATTTGAGACGGAAGTACAATTCGAAATATTCCCACCACCCCTACACCACACACCCACGTCTGATACTTACAACAGTGAGGTGCGAAGATGACCAGATAGTGAGCAAAACCGATTCAGCAAAGAGTTCCAGTAAGAACTCTGCCAGAGGAGGCTTCTGATGGATACTAATTCAGTCAAAGTCCAAATTCCAGTTACTTGCCAAAAAAGCAAGTAGAGAGTTACAGGAGGTAGTGTCTGTCGGTGGCAGATAAAGACAGCCACCAGCTGCAACACTGGTGATTTACGAGGGGGGTGGAGGGAGCTTAAAGGGACAGTGCTTACATGAAAATGTATTTGACAACAAAGATTTTGGATAGTTCGGGCTGGAGAGACGTATTGTTTCCATAACTAAAATCATTGTTTTCCACATTAATAATAAATGACACTTGCATTTGATGTAGCGCCTTATCACGCCATTGAGACGCCTCAAAGCGCTTGACAGAATATACAGGGTGAAACCTCGGGCAAGTTTCCTTACTCCACACGCCTGATAATAATCCCTCAAGAAAAAAAATAATAAATTGGACATTTTCAATCCACGACTGTTTGTGGGACGCCGCTGTGCGCAATTGGCTGCTGCATTCGCCCACAAATATACAGTCAATTCACTTCACAGTCTATTCTTTGAAGCGCTTTGAGACGTCGAGAAGACGTGAAAAGCGCTATATCAAATGCAAGGATTATTATTATTATGATGATGCGAAACATCTCAATCATATTTCACTTTAGAATACTGGACACACCCATTACGTTTAGTCACTTTTCTAAAAGAAAAACTTTCTTGCTTTTAAGTTTCCAACAAATCTTTCATTTACATCAGCTGAGGCAGTGACGGGCAGCTTTTGCCTATACTGTTGAATATGTCATTGGCTCAGTAATAGTATGTGGGCCCCTTATTCACATACAACACAGGTCATTTACCCTCCTGATGATGTGTTGTTGCAATAGTAACCCTATTGAACTGAACTTGTAAAGTCACACCCTCGGGTTCAAAAGTCATTAACCTTGACAAGTATTCCAAAACTAGCATAAAGCACATTTGCAATTATGACCAAAGATTTTGTTTTAGAGTTTAAGGTAGGAGAGCAGCAGAGCTGTTCACGGGGCCTTTCGTCACCGAGACAGAATGAAGTCTTCTCGTTTTTCTGCCCAACTCAAATCAAGAGCAATTTTCTTGACAAAACAGGAAGCACATGGTTTGTGTGCAAGCGGTAATGCTCTTATCCAGTTAAGCCAGATCACAGGCTTGTATTATGATCACCAGCAGGTCATAAACTGATAGGGAGCTAAAGGAAACGTTGCTGCAGCAACTCAAAATCCAGGCCACAAAATGAAACCTGTCCTTGCTGAGCAACTTCCTGACAACAGCTCAGAAGGCAACCAATCTGAGAGTCATCATTTCATTCCACACAAAACAACCAACAACTATATCAGTCAACTTCCACCCCTGAACTTCGATCCCTGGGGAAGAAATTTCATCTGGAGTAAAGCTTAGACTTTTTTTTTAAAAAAAAGAAACCCGCAGAAAAACTGGTTTCAAAATCTGCATAACTCTGAAATGCTAAGAAAAAGGCCGAAGTTTAAACCAGGTAGAAATCCTCCCTCAATTTTCAGATTTTTTTAAAAATGAAACTAACATTCTAGAGTTAAACATAATAGGCCAAAGCAATGTTGTTTTGTGTGGTGTTTGGTGTGCCATCCAATTGAATAATTGGGTTAGCTGATCTTTGTGGTAGTGGTGAGTGAATGGGCTCCATCATTGCAATTGGCTGTTTGCGTTATTTTACTTTGTGCAAATTGACTGCCACATTCATCTACAAATACAGACAGATTACCCTTTACAGTAAAATCCTGTGAAGCACTTTGAGATGTTTCAATGATGTGATATCAAACAAAAGGATTATTAAAAATAAAAATCAACCAGGCGTTCTTGCTCCTAAGGTGCAAAATTCTACCAGTAAGACCATTTTGTTTTAAAGGTGTAAGATGGAGCAGAATTGCTTTACATTCCTAAATTCACCCTTTTTAAGAAAGGTGGAACACCACTTCCAAATGAGCGACTGAATTTAAGCATTTTCCACAATTCAGCAACATATCACAATTTTAAGACCAAATGGTCTTACGGGCTATGATGAGCTGGAATTCCAGAGCTCACGGTTCATGTTATCAAAATGAAGGTAATATTTTGGCAGCCCTACTATATCCAAAATCCTTGTGCAAGCCAGACAGCACCGGACCTGATTTGCTAACTGCATCACTTTTCACACGGCCTGGGCTAGAGGTACATAAGCAGAATTCTAATACATCAACAAGCCGTGCATTTGATATAGCACCCTATCACATCACGGAAACGTCTCAAAGCACTTCACAGGATACACTGTAAAATGTCATGACTGTATAGTTTGTGTGCGAATTTTCATCGTCCATCACCTTGCCATTCCAGATTAGCTGCCCGAAAAGATAAACGAAATGAGCTTGCATTTTATAGCTCCTTATCATGCCAAAATGTCTCCAAGTTCTGTCAGGTTTAATTTCAATCAGCGTTTTTGTTCCTGATTATTGTGGAGGTGTGCAGCTGAGGACAGGATCGAGTACAACTCTGATTCGCCCTCCCCCACCTCCCGTCAAATACCCTGTGATCCTGTAAAGACTCACACATAAATAATAGCTATTTGATTGTGATTGAAGGATTGAAAGACTGAAGAATGCCTAACATCTGTGAACTGAACCCCAATAGAGGCAATATGTGTGCCCCAGTACAGGCCAGACCAGGAAGGGAAGGAAAAAACATGAAATATCTCCGGGAGGGGGGCAGGAGAGAATTTGGCAGGAGAAAAATGCGCAAAAGGTATTATTGCAGCTGAGTATTGCATTCTGTTCAGATATTCTGGTAGGATATTTATTTGCATGGTCAGTGCGGAAGCAACGTGAGCCAAGCTGCAAGAGGCTGTCGTCTAGTGGTCCCCATGAGTTATATCAATATTTATCAAGGTTTGAAGCCCCTGAACTGTACTTATTGAGAACAGAAAAGATCTGACACCAGTCAACTCTTTCACTCTGCAGAGACGTTGTCCAGGCCAGCACGGTCCTGTGTTTGACACTGGGCCTGTGCTGAGTTGGTCAACCTTAGCTAAGATAGCACCAGGGGTGCTACAACTGGCTGGGATGGGGAGAGAGGCAGAGAGAGAGTGAAAAATTTTCCAGGGTTCCCATTGCTGATCGCCATGTGGTGCCTCTTGCTGAACGTAAAGGCACGTGCATCCATGGCTGCCTCCAGCATCTTGCTGGGACCAAATTGGCTGCTGTGTTTGCCTGCAAATACACAGCCACTACACGTGACAGCACTTTGAGGTGTTTTGAAATGATAAGCAACAACAACAAGATTACATTTGTATAGCGACATCCCAATAAACACTATATCAAATGCAAGCATTATATGACAGCAGAATGACAGCCCATAATACACAGCTGTATACACACACCTGGTGCTGGACACAGCTGTATACACACACCTGGTGCCGGACACAGCTGTACACACACACCTGGTGCCGGACACAGCTGTATACACACACCTGGTGCCGGACACAGCTGTATACATACACCCGGTGCCGGACACAGCTGTATACACACACCTGGTGCTGAACACAGCTGTATACATACACCTGGTGCCGGACACAGCTGTACACACACACCTGGTGCCGGACACAGCTGTACACACACACCTGGTGCCGGACACAGCTGTTGTACACACACACCTGGTGCCGGACACAGCTGTATACACACACCTGGTGCCGGACACAGCTGTATACACACACCTGGTGCCGGACACAGCTGTACACACACCTGGTGCCGGACACAGCTGTACACACACCTGGTGCCGGACACAGCTGTAAACACACCTGGTGCCGGACACAGCTGTACACACACCTGGTGCCGGACACAGCTGTACACACACCTGGTGCCGGACACAGCTGTACACACACCTGGTGCCGGACACAGCTGTACACACACCTGGTGCCGGACACAGCTGTACACACACCTGGTGCCGGACACAGCTGTACACACACCTGGTGCCGGACACAGCTGTACACACACCTGGTGCGGGACAAAGATGTGTACAATAACAACTTGCATTTATAAAGCACCCTTCTCGCAGGGTAGCTTCCTAGAGTGCTCGCCAGTGGCGGAGTCTGACCCAGAGTCAGGGGGAGAGGAAGGGTATAAACACCTGGTGGAAAAACACAGCTGTGCGTATACCTGGTGTAGGACACAGCTGTGTACACACCTGGGGCAGAAATACAGCTGTGTATGTGCATGTATGGTTCTGGACTTGATGCACGATATATTCCACTATTATTTCCCAACCAAGCAACTCCATCTTCAGTCTGTTATTGTTGCAGCCAGTACAGCACTATCAGCAATGCTTTAGTGCGAAGAATCCAATGACACCCAGGGCCTGTCATGACATAGTAAGTGGGGAAAAAAACGCACAAGCTTTTCTTAAACACCAATATCACGTCTAAATCTAATGAATATACGAGTGATTCCAGGGCTTGCCCACTTCCAGCCATGATGAGGGAAATACCAGATGGAAAAAATTACAATCCGTATTCCGCATCCTAGAATAATAATCCTTGCATTTGATATAGCACCTTATTACGTCTTTGAGACATGTCAAAGCGCTTCACAGAATATACTGTAAAGTGAACTGACTGTAAATTTTGTGGGCGAAAAGCGGCAGCCAATTCCAAACCCTGGAATTAGGTTGAACTCTTATTGCTTGGCTGGAGACAAAAGATATTTTTTAAAAAACGAGCTATTTAATAGTCCTTTATATTGCAATGTCCCAAAACATTTTATCGTAATTAAAGTCGAGTGTAATGACCGTATCTTTAAGCAAGCATGACAGCCATTTTAAGCACTGAAAGATCTCAGTAAACTCCCTTCTTTTTCCCAAATTGTATTATTCAGATCTTTAATGCCCATCTTAACAGACAGGACCTCAGTTTTATTGGGGAGGTCCCCAATATCGGACTGGAGTGTTAGCCTAGACTTTGAGCTCAAAGTCCTGACATGTATTATTATGATGATGCGAAACATCTCAATCATATTTCACTTTAGAATA